AATCCAGGAACGCCAAGGAAGCGTGTCCCAGCCATACGGCAGCATGGCCTGTGCCTAAGCGGGAGTTACTGCTGAACGTTTTGCTTCAGAGATAGTTTTGATGTGTAACAGGTGTGAGTGTCCACTCATGAGCTTGATCTTTCGCTTATTTATTCCTGCTTAGACTTTTACAGTCATGATACGAATATGGTCCTCTCAGTTTTTCTGAGATCAGTTCTCTGGCAGCATCTAGAAAAGGCTTTAGGGCTGTCACTGATAAAATAGAAAAGGATTTATCTGAAGTGTCTATTTACTGCCTTACCTGCACACAGCTCTACAGACACCTCTGACTTTTAATCCATCATTACTCTTTTATGTTGCAGGTTCTCTGCCGATACCAGCACATCTGGAATATTGACCTGCGCTTTCGCCCAGCGTTCCTTGGTGGCATAATGCAACAAACTGGTAGGCAACACAAAGAGATTAGATCTATAGGGCAGCACCTTCTTCACTAGTAGGGCACTAGTGGGCAAACTCTTGGTGAGTGCAGAGCCCACAGAGCCTGCTTTAAACTAATTTTTGGCACCAATAACAAATTAATCATAGGATTGTGGAGCTCGGTAGCGATTGAGAAATCACTCACAAAGAATTTCACACTGTTGCAACTACATACCCACACAGACTTTGGCAGTCTGTGCCAAAGTTCATCAGTTCTAAAGTACCATAATAATAATTTGATATGGAGTGTTTTCCTTAAAGTTTTCTGTTGAGTTGAAACCAGAAATAATTTGTGGAACTCTTGCACTTTGTAATATGCAGGAAGGATCCAAGTATGTCCTAAAACAGTACTCATGGCCTTATTAGAACAAATTGATCACTGAGACTTACAAATCATGAAATTAACAAGTCTCTACATTGGTTTACCAATGCATTAGTAGTTGTCTGTCTTAAAAGTCTGAATCAACAAAAATCCCTGCTAGGACATTTGTACCTTGGTTTAAAACTGATTCTGCTATCTTAAAGGGTTGATCTGTGCAAAACCAAAATAAATCATGTTTAAATCCTAGCATTATCTTTGGAAAAGCTGAGTATGTTTCAGTAAGCCAATAAGAAATTATACTCTTCCTTAGGCACATGTACATATGAGGTCTAATTTGTCCAGTGTTGGTTTGTCCAGTATTATAATACAGTTGGAAATCTCAACAGAATTTTTTCCTTAAAGGTAACAAGCCACCAGCAATGTTACCCAAGCGTGCTGAATACCTGCTGAAGGATATAAAAAGAATGGCAAAATACTACCAAGTGCCTGTAAAAATTTCCGGAGATGACTTCCAACGTATTTTTCGTACAAGTAAGAAAGAGACTTAGCTTAGCTGGTGTTTCTCACCTCTAACACTTCTGGTTCGAGTTCTCCCTAACAGTAAAGGTGAAAATTCATTCCCTGTCCGCAGCCTTTTTCTGTATCTATGAGCAATATGAAGCCTGTGCATTTTTAACCATAAAAGAAATTTCTGGAGAAATATGGCTGTGAATGATATCATTCACATAATATCATTGGGAGATAATTGACTGCGAATCAACATAAGCTACTGTGAATCAACATAAGCTTTACTATTAAAGACTGTGGATTTATCGGGCCTGTTACAGAGGAGGTCATACTGTTCTTAGGTAGCACTCATGCAGACCATCTCTGTTCCTGAACCTGTGCCTTGTTTCAGTGTGTTTCTCTGTCTCCCCACTAATCCCAGGCAGTCTTCCGGCCATGCGCTTTATCACAGCCATTGATATGACAAAACCAGAATACCTGGAACCCTTATCTAGGGAGTTCTGGATACGTTTCTGGTCACAGGTCAGTATTTTATGAAGCCAACTTTTTGATCCTTTCTCTCACCCTTCCTATCCCACACCATTCAAATGTGGGATTCAAGCAAGAGAAAGAAAATGTCTTTTAATGAAGAGTCATAGGAGGATCTTAAGGTCATAGTAGTTCAGGAACCACTGTGAAAAGAACTAGTTTATAGTCGCCTTAATTTACTTCTTTTAGTTTACTCATCATATGATGAGTCCTACAGGCCGAGTGGATCAGTGGTTTCCTATTAGAAAAAACTTCCTAGATTAGGTGACTTAATACCTTTTCTGAGGAAATTTCTCCAGCAACTAGTATATTGGTTTTATTTCTATTTTGTTAGAAAACTTGCTTTCAAGTCTGGAGCTGAGCTTTTGTTCTTAAGTACTGATTTACTTATTTTATTCTTTTACCAGCATGAAGATATCAGTCAGCCAGAGAACATATTGACTGTAAGTGTCTCCTTTTTTTGGTGCTTCTGCATTTCTAATACAGATTCTTACTGATGACTTGGATCAGTAATAAACATGAAGACAGCTTAGTCAAATGAACACTTGGAGTTTTGAAAAATTTCAGGTAGAAAAAAATGGATTTAATTTGCCTAGAAGCTCTGTTTGGAATGTGGGGTTTTATTCTTTTCATGCTTGCATCACATTCAGAACCAGAATCCCCTTTTTTTTTTTTTGTTAATTCACGTGGCAAGATACCCAGGATGGACAATTAGTTATCTATTAATACTGCTTTATTAAGTCTTGAAAGTACAAAGTATTTCTCCAGAATACATTGAAGTATTGCTGCCATATGAAATGTTCATGTAAAATGCAACACTTTGGGGAAGTTGACTTTCCATGGAGTGATGGAGCCAGGCTTTCTGATAAGCTCTGTGCTGCACTGCCCTTTTGTATGCTTAGAAATTACACTCTTGATGTATTTTCTTTTGATGTTTAGATTTTGTTTATTATAGTAAAAGCTGTCATGGCATGTAAGTTCATATACCAGGAGATCCTCTTTAAGTGCTCTCCTTTCTACATTATTTTATAAGTTCTTTTAATATGAAGAAAAGAGAGGAATTGTCCACGACTAGTCTCTCCTATCCAATGTCCCTAATTGAAATTTGAAACTTGCAGTCTTTGCAGTCTTGCTTTTCCCTCAGTCTAGTCCTTGCACTTCAGCTTCCTCTTAGTGTACCTTTTTTACCAGAATTTCAGCAAAGGCTTGCCTTTTCCCTTTTCAAGAGGCAAGATTTGAAGGATATAATTAAACTGTGGTGTGCTAACCCTGGTAGGCAGCTGAGCACCACACAGACATTCACTTGCTTCCTCCCACTGCCCAGGAGGACAGGGGAAGAGGTAAAGAAGAATAAAAGCAAGAAAACTTGTAGGTTGAGATAAAATTGCTTAATAAGCAAAAGTGGAAGAAGAGTGAAAGAAAACACAGCAAAGGCCATCACTCACCACCTCCTACAGGTAGTCTGATGCCAAGCCAGTTCCCAAGCAAAAGGAAGTTAACCTCCTTAAACTGCCTCCCCACTAATTATTGCTCAGCCTGTTATATGGCATGGTATATCTCTTTGGTTAGTTCAGGTCATCTGCCTTGTGTCATCTCCCAACATGTTGTGAACCCCCCATTTATTCACTGTGGGGGCAGAGTGAGAAACAGAGAATGCCTTGACACTATGCAAACACCGTTCATCAATATCTAAACCAATTAGTATGTTATCAGCATTGTTTTGGTCACAAATCTGAAACAAAACCATAGGAGCTGCTATGAAGGAAAGTAGCTCCATCCCAACCAGACCCAGTACATAAATATATACAGAACATCCCCACATAGTCTCTTAATCCATCATTATTTAAATAAAGCAAGGACATGCAGAACTTCAGAGTCAGACTTCACACTCAGAAAGATCTTAAGTTTAGTCACTGTTTGGCAGTCAATAAGAATCCCCCTATGTTCATTGAGGCAGACAAGTAGATGTCCTCTTGTTTGCTTGTGTCTGTCTTCATTCACCCCTGCAGCAAGTACTACACTTTCCTCTCTTCTGAAAATTTGCCGTCCAAAGGGGTCCTTGGTGAGGGGTCCCAACCCTTTCATCTGAGTCATTATAGGCGAATTTATTTTACACATCAATTAGAAAAATGGAATGTTTTTTACTTGATAACAGTTCCTTAATATTTTTTTACTTCTTTATTTTTGTCAGCAATAACTTCACATAAATTGCTATAGCAGCAATGTATAGTCTGAATTCTGCCTCAGTCTATTTAAGTAGTCCTTCTGCCCTTAAAATGGTGAGGACTAGATACTACATCACTGCAATCTAATACTTGCAGTGTAAATACTGCAGTCTGAACACTGGCTATCAAGCATACACAGCATTTTGGTCTCATCCAGTGCTACATTTGTTTAATCTCCTGTTCAAGCACAGTAAAAAAGAGCTCCTAATCTCCCTGATGTGCAAGTAGGAGAAGGTACAAGAAAATGTGGATGCTAAACAAAAAAAAGCGATTGAAAGAAAAAATCAGTAATACCTGCATGTGCAGGATTAGTGGTCCATATGCAATGTTGGTTTATTGGTTTGTTTTTTGTTGGTGGGTTTTGTTTTGGTTTGGTTGGGGGTTTTTGGTTTGTTTTGTTGTTGTTGTTTTGGGGTTTTTTAATCAAAAAAAAAAAGAAAAAGCATGCCATTCAGGTAGATGGCAGGCAAGTTAAGCTCTTTTTTTAGTGAAATACTTTATTAAAAGTAATTGTAATCTCAGTTTTATCTCATAAACATCGGACCTTTAACTTTGGCTACTTTATCTCCTTCCTGTGTGGCAGAAGCACAGAGGAGGTGAAAAAGATACAGCAGTAATACCAGCAACTGTTTAACCTCCGTGAGTTACAGTGACTGACTTTCATGCAGACACTTACAGAACCCATGTGGCCACATTTGCCATACAAACTGTTTCTGTCTTGATAGGCTTGTACAGTAAGATTTTGTTTTCATAATACCAGTTTGAGGTTTTTGTAATTTATTGTAATTTATTTGGTAATTTATTTATGAGTCGTTGTATTAGAGGTTCAACTTAGGGGTGTTTTTTTCCCTTTTATGTTTAGGAACTCCTTAAAATAATGTGCAGATTTTGGAAGTTTAAAATGTCTCTTCTACTTTGTATCTGAGAACTGTTAAATGATGAATGGGTTGGGCACACAGCAAGACAATTGTGCAAGAAGTGCTTCAAGAGTATTTTGAAATTTTTTTTGCAATAGACCTTGGGTGATAATACTAAGGATTAAATTAATTAGACCATAGTAGGAATTAGAGTATTTACTAATAAGGTACTCCTAATTATATCATCTTTTCTCAGGTTGCCCGACAGGCTGGGCTATCATCAGAGCTCTCCCAGAAGGCACTTGAAATGATTTCATCCCTTACAGTGAAGGACCGACTGAGAGAGACAACAGATGAAGCAATGAAATATGGGGTGAGACGCTTCCAATGCCATTGGGCTTCACAGCTATGCATTCCTTCTCTATTATGAATATGGGGAAGCAAGGAACAATGAAGGTGATGATTAGAAAGCACTATACAGACCATCTCTGTTGGGTGCTCTTTGCTTCTTGAATGTGTGAAAGCTAACTCACTGTTGTTGGTAGTTTATTTCACTGTCATATGGGAAAACCAGGTTGACCCATTCAGCTTATTCCAGCTGGACAGCAAGGAGGGGACCAGTACCACAAGACACCACTTATCACTACTTGAAATAGAACTGTGGATTTATCAGGCTACTTTTTTTGCTCCTTCAAAAGGGGCACACAAGGTCTGGAGAGTCACCTATCTTCTGATGGCTCCATTAGACTTCAAGAATGAAGAAGGTGAAAAGAAGGGGAGGAAAAAAAGTCAAACTTATTGGGGTTCATTCCTGAATACTGATGACGTGTCTGCAAGAAATTTTCTCATTATAACATTCTCTGTTTCATCTCCCTGGTGTTAATAGGCATTTGGGATGCCTGCTGTTGTGGCACATTATAATGGGGAACCTCATCTCTTTTTTGGCTCTGATCGTTTAGAGCTGCTAGGCAGCGTTATAGGTGAGTCTACCTAATAACATCACTTCTGGTTTCAGACTGTCACCCTCTTTTAATGAAATACATAATGCAGCTGAATAAAACGCTCTTAAGGTCTTTCAAATATTTTTAGTTTTAACATTTTCATTTTCTATCTCTTTAACAAAAAGCACATCATTACAGCTCCCCAACCTATACATACCTTGCATAACTTGTGTCTACCTACACAAATTTGTAACAGATATTCATATATTAAACATCCTTATTTTCATTTTTCTACCACAGAATGCACACTTTAAATTTTTAAAGAGATTGAAATAGGCTGTGTTAAAAAATCAAGTCACCTGTTTTAATGGGTTAGAGGGCATTTCTCTATTGATCTCAAGATTTGGCACTTGAGAGAGTATGTCACTAGAAAGAGTTATGCACATAACTAGTTCTCATGCATTTGTTGAAAAAATTCAGCAGAAAATATTAATGTAAATTAATATTAGTCATAGGCTTAAACAGAAAGGAAATTTTTTGAGTTTGTTTTTTTTTCTCTTAATGGGTTTCTGATTCCATAAAATGAGAGTGAGAAAGATGAGTACCCAACACCCACTACAGTAGTCACTAGTCCTCATTAGAATGTTGTGGCCTGGTTTCTAATCTCAACTCCAAGGACTTACTCAGATTTTCTTTCTGTTTCTCTGACTCCCGAGCCTTCCACTCTTTTTTGCTTTCTTAGTCCCCAGCCCCCCTAAAAAGGAGTCCTAAAAAGAATTGGTTTGACCCTCATGTGCAATACCCCAGACCCACCAAATTTCTCATGTCTAACAGAGGAAAAATTCTTCTGTACAGCTTCAGCTGTTCCTAGACAGTGAAGGATTTATGCAGCTGTCTGAAGTCAAACCACATACAGATCTGTATTCTGTCTCAGTAGTTACCCTTCAAAAGAGTAGGAATAATCATCCTGGTGCAGAAATATGACTGCTGAATTACTCCTGCGTATTAAATTCTGTCTCTTTTGTGTGGTTTGTCTTGTAGGTGAAAAATGGCTGGGACCAACCCCAAGTGCCAAGCTGTGAAAAGTCCTGGGGAAGTATACAAGAAGGAAAATACATATATATATACACACAGTCAATCTTCAGTGATTATCTGAATATATCAATTTTAGGGAGAGATGGCTTTCTGATCAATAACAGTTACTTTTACAGCTTGATCTCATCTCCAATTAGGAAGAATTTCAAGGTTTGCCAGTATTACAGTTTGGTGAGGTCTTTACCAGTACAAATGTGCTTGGTTTTTTTCAACAGATCACAGACTAACATGAAAGATAAAACATTAAATATTTAACTTCTTGCAGATCAAACATTCTTCTTTTCTCGTTAGTCCTCTTTTCGTTTACCCTAAAACATGAGGGTTAAATTGTAATGGGACTGTGATCTCTGGACTTCTCACGTCTTCCTGCTTGTCCTTTGTAAACACACACACACACACAACCTAAGAGAAGCTGGCCACATTCTTTTTTTATTTTAAATCCAATATACTACATAGGCACTAGAAGCACAGGATAAGGTATTCATGCTTCCTTTTACTTAGCAGCGTGGCAACTGGAGGGGACACAATTCAAGCCCAAAGAAAAGTCTAGGGAACCAGTCAAGTATTTCAAAAGGAACTGTCCCCATCCTGAACAGTATTTTGTACACCTTGCTCTGCAGTGACTGACATTTGAGGAAACCACCATACATGTGCAGCACCAATCCCAGACCTTGCAGGAGTTTTTAGTTAATGCAAGTTTTACAGTAATGTCTTCGCAGGACAGTGGTAATCACCATGCAAGTTTAGCTGGTAACTGAACCAGATTGTATTTTGCTTCCTCAAGGATGCCCTAACTGCTGCCTATCCAAAGGTGATTTGGATATGGCTATGAGGGACTTTCCATCACATAGTCTGCAGAGGGAAAGGTGTGGAAACAATAAAATTAAGACATTTCCATGGAAACAGTTTGATCCTGGCCCTGTATTGGCTGAATTGGAGTAACACATTGAAACTAATTTGATTTGTATGAAGCTTGATTTCTCAATGATCCCAGGCTGTCTCTGATGCATCACTGAATGAAGCAGAAGAACTAGCAGCAGCTGGAATTCTGGGTTTTGTCTTTTTCTGAACTTTAAGGTAAAGCATGTTCACACTTGTTAATTTGAACAGCAAATCCTGGAACAAAGCATCAGAAAAAAAATCTGTATCTTTCATGTTCTTACAGCTATAAGTGCTTTGGGAGTATCATGTTCCCCCATCCACAATTTTGCCTTCTTATACCTCTTTCAGTTCTTCAGGAAATATCCTATAACTTAAGAACCCCCTTCCCCCTTTCTACTAGTGCACCCATTAGTCTTTGGGCAAATCCAGCCTGGAACTTCAGGTAATCTTTTTGAGATACAAAAGGAGTTAGAATGACTTGTATGTAGGTACCATAGTTTTCTTTGAGTCCCCTGAAGCCATGTTATAGCAATTTTTTACCACTTCTCTCCTGAAATTTTCTTGTCTCCAATCTGTGCTATCAAAGTGATTCTGAGGTGATAAAATGGAATGACTAAAACATCACTTTAAGCCAGTCGTGCTATCTCTAAGTGGGTAAAATGCCCTTTTGTGGAAGTAATGAACTCTGGTGAGAATTCAAGGAACATCTGGAGATAATCTCAAGGTAAAAGCCAGGATCTCATGAAATTTAATCATTTGAACCAGACTGATTGAAAAATAACCAGCCTTTGTGGCAGAATGTTGTTGATTTAGCAGGTGTACCAAATGAGATGGATCTTGCAGACTGTGATATATTTCACAAAACTATTTTAAAGGCCCTTAGACCTACTTCAGATCAGTGGAAACTAAATGCTCAAAACCTTAGGTACTAAAATAATACTTAAAACACTACTGAGATAAGAAAAACCCAAACTCGGGATTTTCCTTCCATTGCTTAGTGCCTATAATAACCACCAGTAAATGCAAAACCACAGCTTTTGCATTTATATCAGTGAGTTTGCAAATTGTTGTAATTCTGACTGTATACATACTTTGAGCAAAATTTGCCTATTTGGGAGCAGAATTTTGATGGAGTTCTGCCTCTTGTTCAGACAACCTTGCTCCAGGGTTACAGAGCACAAGCTCGGCTGGCAGCTACACTGTCATGCTCTGTACTTGTCTTTGTTGTAGTGTGCATTGCAGTAGTCTCAGTGATAAGTAACAGCTTCTTTACCTGGCTTCCCTTTCTGATCTCCTGTGTCACCAGTGACCACCACCACAAGGAGTGGTGGTGACTGACTTTGAATGCTGACTGCTGACCTGACTGCTCTGAATGCCACAAGGTGGCAGGGCAGCTAAAAGCTGAACATTGAAAAAACACTGAGGATCTAAACAGCAGTAATAAGAACTACCAGCTGTTCAGGATTATTTAGCAATAGGTGGAAGAATTTTCTTCTATAAAGATGATACCCCTTCTACTTCACTATATACCAAACTAGTTCCTGAGAGCCTCACATCCACACCACTTTCAAGGCAGCATGTTGTTTAGCTGTCAGGCCAGAGAAGATACTGAGCAAGGAAAGGAATATACCAAGCGAAAAGAGATACTCTCAGCAACACAAGCAAAACTGGACTATGAATTGTAGAGAACAAACCTGAAGGTGTGTTCCCCTTTGCTCTTACAGATCTCTCCAGGAGATCAAGTCCCACTTCCCATGTCTGGAAAAGCTGTGAAACTGGCGTGGACAAGTAGGTCCCACCAATACTAGGCTAAAAGCAAACAAGCAGGTGAACAGATAGGGACAACATTACAAAATGAGCAAAAGAAAGGGGGTCTGTAGAGTAATGAAACTATAAGAAGCAGTAGATAGGCACAGAGAAAGCTAGATTGCATCTGAGCAAAGGAAATTGAACAAACAAACAAAAAAGAAGAGGAAAAAAACTGCCTAGATTAGAGCAGAGAGCAGTGTCTCCATGGGAAATGCTGTTCCCTGAGAGGAAGGAGGCAACCAAGAAAGGGAGAGCTTAGGTACATTAGGCAGGCCAGAGTCAGCTGGCCATGGAAGATCGTTTGGGGAAGAAGGTGTAGGATTAACTCTGTTTACTGTGGAGCCGTACAGTAATTGCTGCACGGTTTCAGTGAGGCCAGGGATGGCCCAGGGCCTGCCTCCATCCTGAGCCAAGGGCCTACAGCGCTCCTCCAGGTCCGTTACCTGTGCTCCTCACCCAGTGTGCACCAAGACAGTCCTCCAGCGGTGACATCACACACAGCACAAAATGGAGGCCTGCAGAACAAGGTAGTTCTTTAACCTCCCTCTGCAAGTACCTTCTCATTGCCCTTTCAACCCTCAGCAAGCAAAGCCTCCTAAATAAAGTTCCTCTCTTCTCCCATCTTTATCTTTGTTCAAGTGAGAAGGAAACATTTTATTAAAGCACTTACTGGATTATGGTGCTGAGCATCTGCTTTGCTGCCTTTTCCTTTTCCAGTGGAGCCAGCAACACTGCTGGAAGGAAGCAACCTGCTTCCTAGAAGGGAACCAAGCACAGAACAATAAAGAAATAATCAAGAGGGCATCCCAGGAGTTGCACATATAGCTGGTTTTACCCCAATCTTTTCACAGATCTGTGACTCATCCACAGGTAAGAGTGAAAGGAATGTATCTATGGCCAACTTGACTAATGTTACCTTGACCTATTTCTCATTCTAGCTTGAAACACGAGGAAGGTGACTATTTTCATTTCATTCATTCATTCAAAAAAATCACTGGCCACTGGTTCCAGACTGTTTCAATGACACAGCTCTTTGGCTTCTTGCCTAAAGAAGCTACACCTGTAGCTATCTAATGAGTAATAAAGGAATTTTCCAACCTTTACAAAGGTTTTCATGAGTCTGTTTTTGATTTCTGTATCAGTCTAATGTTACACACAAAAAATAGTTTAAAATAATACAGCAGGTTCCAGTAAGTGACAATTCATGCAGTCAAGCTAAGAAATGCCATTACTAAATACATCTGTGCAACCTTAATGCCTTATCTCTAAGAATATAACACTAGAAGTGTTAAAGAGAGTTATAGCTGGATTTATGTCCTGCCCTTGAGGCTAAGAGGAAAGTCACCTCTGCCTCATGTGATATGAACTGGCATATGAGACATGTTTGTACTTTAAAGCCAAATCAAAAAATATTTTGGCAATGGCAGCTCTCTGTGTCTTTATCTGGGAGCATAATGACTACAGACTGCTGACACTTTTTTTTCCTTTTTGTAACATTTTTCTCTTAATCTGAAAGGCAACTTGGAGAACCCAAGAACGTGTACATGATTAGGAATTCTGGAATCATTCAGTGTAAGACCTAGACTTACAGTGGGCATGTCTTATGTTTCTCTGGAAAAAAACCAAAACCAATTCAGTCTGATTTTACACAGTGCATTAACTGTGGCTGAATAGTTATTGTATAGCTCAGTAAAGGGCAAAACTAAAACACCAGGATGCCTCTCTGTGTCCCAAGGGGCTTTCTTTGCTTTGTTTAGTTTAACTCTGGCATATCTTCAGTTTATTATGTTCAGTTAGGGATAATTACAGTTCTTCCCTGTAGCACAGATTAACCCAAATTACCAATATTCATTTAAATGTAATTTTGTCTAGGAATACTAACATGTATTGCCACACTTGATCTTGTGGTAATTAGTCTTCCATCAGGACTGGATGTAGTAAATGAACAGAAAATTTTTAGTATTTGCAAAAATCAAAATAAATGTATCATCCCTGTGGTTTTCCTTCTTTTTTTTTAGCACAAAAAATTGGTCTTAATCCTATCTCTTTCTAGCTCAAGAACTGTCAGAATTTCTGGAAATAAATTTTCAAATTCAGAAGAGCAAGATTTCACCTTATGCTTAGAGAATGCAGGCTTGACTCTGCTACTTCGTACCTCACACACACGTGTAACTACATTTCTGCAGTCTCCTGATTAGATGAATTGATTTCAACTAATCCGAAAAGTATCCATGTTTATCCATTTTAACAATGGCTCTCTTAGCACAAATCAGAAGCCCACATACACACCTGCAGGTTTGTTGGTGTACCCGTATATAGGTTTGGTTTTTTTACATGTATGCAGTGAAGGTATAAGAATAGATATGGTACAGCAGAAAATCACCACTCCTACAGGGTGCAGCTGTCTGACCATGCCAAGGTACTGAGAAAGCACAGTGAAAGTTTTGCAGTGTCAGTATCAGATCATTGCCACTCACAGTGGAGTCTATAAAACCTAAAAATTATGTTGAACATTATATCGCATTCTCTGCAATGATTATTCTTGGTGATGCATGATTTATATACTTGTGGGACAATAAGGAGTCAGCAGATAGGGAAACTATCTTGGGAAGAGCAGCAGAGGCCACTAAAAAGCATCCATCTTTCTCACACCTGCCTGTTCTCAGTGTCATGCCACAAAGGCAATAGGTGTGAATTTGTGAGCGGAGCTGTGGCCCACTCAAGATAATCCCAGAAATACATGGAAATGGTAACCTGGACAATGTCATGGTGACACAAGTGAAAACCCTCTGTGAGGCACAGAGCAACTATTGCCTTTATGGTGTCATTTCCAGATCCCTTACAAAAGAGACAATTTCATGGTGTTGAGCCTCCTGGCCCTACAGTATTTTTTTATCACTCTTGCTCTGAGCTGATGACACTGAACTCCTTCTTCCAAGCTTTCAAAAGAAGGACCTATTGAAGCTCATTCCTACCTTCTGCCTCATAATAGCAGCTCATTGGTTGTCTTCTGTTGTGAAGGTCCCTAACATGCTGCTTTTTCATATCACCACATTTAACACCTTTATGTCTCTCCTTCAGAACAAGCAATATTTGTATATAGCACCCCAGCTCCTAATTGTAGCATATGGCATGGCTCTCCTCTTCCTCTGCATGATCAATAATCCCACTTGTTTTTCCTGTTCTCCCAGAGTTTCAACACCAGCACCTTGAGTTCTCTTGTGTCTCTAAGCATACAAGCACTCATGCTGTGAGTTGTTCTGCAAAGTGGAGAAATCTTACAAACATCTCACAGAACAGAGGTCTCTGCAGAACATCTGACAGTATCACATCCTCAATGCTGTCGCTAAGATACAGACAATTTTAAGCAGGGCCACTACTGACATCTCATATGGGGCAGCTGTGGAGACTAAGACCTAACTCTGTCTTCAAAGTAAACTGGCTCCACTTTCTGATGCTTGTTATCTTTATCAACAATCCCTTTTCACACAATTCCTACAAAGATTTCACTGTCCCTTCCAACCAACTCTTTCACTTGCCATAAACATAATCCCTAGTATCTCTTACCATCTCAACATGCTCCTATTCCAGTCTTTTGGCAACAATTGTTAAGTTTTGCCTTTCACAGTTTCTAATGACTTCCCAAACTCAAAAGCTTAGTCTTCTCAATCATACTTTCCCAAAATCTTACACAGTCCTCTCAGCCTCTCAGAAACAGGTTGAAACTGATTTAAATTTTCCCTAATTTTAGCTTTAGACTGATTCTCAACATGAAATGCTTTAGTACAAACCAGTTCATTTTAACAAAGCGAAACAACAACTGCAAACAGGGTCTGAGATCAGTGCAGGTGATACAACCTCAGCAGCAGGTAATACGATAGTTCTCCCTGCTATGGGACCGAAAAGAAGACTATAATCATCTCTTTGGACTGTGAATGGATCCAAGCTGACTTTAATCAACTACTTCAGCTTTAATCAAGTAAGATTGACTAAAGAGCCTAGCCAAAAAAAAGCTCAGTATAGGTTAGCTACCTGATTACCCCCATTCTGAGAAGCACACTGCTTAGTTCAGGAAACACTGTTTCCATAATTCCTATATCCAAACTGTGTAGTTTATAAAGAAGTATGGGCACTGATTCAGAAATGCAACCATAGCTCTCCACAGAAACACAAACATGTTCATTCTTTGCAGTCTACTGTAACTCTGTCTGCAGTATGTACAGCACTATTTATTCATGCTACTGAAACATTCTCTCCGCATTAAAGTTTGCATGCCAGTTTCTCTCCCCATTTCTCTATCATCTACCTACACTTCTCAGATCTTAAGTACAGCATATAAAGGATGCAGCTCAACCTCCCATACGCTTCTAGAAGCATAAGTAGAGGATTTTTTCTTTTTATTCTTTCTTTTTTTACCTGGTGAGCTAGAAGTACTGGGTGTGCAGTCACTGTCATCCAGCCACATATTCTGAACCATTGAATCCTGTTTTGGAGGGCCCTCAAGAGAGCACGTCAGCTCCTGGAGAGGGCAAAGAAGACGTGTTTTAATAATGCACTTGGTAAAATCAGGCAGGGTAGCCTCTGTTAGAGATCAGACACCCACCCTGTCATTCTCCTCTTCCTCAGATGCTCCATTTTCCCTTAATCCACTACAACAACTGCTTACACTGGATGAAGAACGTGAGAGTGGCTGCATCACACAGTATCCTGAAGTCTGACTCCTGAGTATTCTGTGAAATGCAAGCATTCAACATCATCATGCTTATTGTTACACACAGGCTTAATTTTTTGTGGCATAACTTTATTATACAGCAATCAGAAACAGTAAGAAGAAATGACTCATCCACAGCTAGTTTTTCCACCTAGGAGCAGAAAACAAGTGAACTGGCTTGCATACCTTATGTTCTAGTTGCTACATCATTTAGTAGAAACACCACTTCTTTGTCTCCATGCTGGATAACCGTATGAAAGGACAAATCTAACTGAATTTTTAAGTCACAGACTTAGGCGTAGTAAAGCGGAGTGAGTCACACCATCTGCATTTAAGTATCAAATACATCTAGACATTCATTAAAATCAACGGATGCCTTATTTTGGAGATCAGAGACTTAGAAGCCTAAATATAATATGAAGAGACGTGAAACTGAGTATAAAGGGCAGTGAAGACCCAGTCTTGGCCTCCCATTCCCACAGCTACTATCAGACTATCATGTTTGGTCTTATGTGAAATTCCAGACAGAACAAAGGGACTATAAAAAGCACACTTTTCATGCCATAGAGCTTATAAATTGTTACTGCTGGTTTTCTGGACAGGTGTAACACGAGAAGGCAGGAAAATACACAAACATTAACCAGTATTATAGAACAGTTAACTAAGAAAGTTTAACAAAGCAATGGGAAGGTTGAAACAAATTACTGAGATCTGCAGGCTGTCTCAGTGTCAAACTATTTAGCATAAAGTGCCAAGCTCTTGCACAGGCATGTCAGAACTTCCTCCTGCTTACAAACAGGAACACACCTAGGTCAGATTCCCATCCTGGTGATTTTCCATGTGACAAGTTGCCAGTAGATGGGCTCCTTTAGGTCCATTCCACTAAACTTTTAGGTCTCACAGGGTCATTCAACAGGGATATTCAAAGCAAACTGTATTGGATCACTTTACCACTACTTTCTCAAATGACACAGACACTGAGGTAGCCCGGTGCATGTTTCATAACTATCAAGAAAGACCCTTAAGGTCAGCTCTTCCCAGATCAGAATTTGTGATCCACTGCTTACAGTCATCTAGGAGATATAGCAGTCCATGAGGCTGACATGCTTACATGGTAGAAGGTGCACTGTGCATGTAAGCCTAAAATTTATGGGGAAATACCACTGTTTGCGTAAGACTAGCCAGTAAGGGAGAGATGAGTGCTTAAAAATGTTAAGAAATATAAAAAAAGCTAAGAGAGGCAAGAAAGATAAGACACTTTTAACATACTAAATATATTTATTCCTTCAGAAACACTGCAAAATGTGGCCAATCTTGACCTACAAGCAGTAATGAAACCTAAAGTCCCAGGCATATTCCATGCCAGCATGCAACAGGGAGAACAGTAAAGATAGGGCCAATATAGGCCAAAGATATTTCCTCTAATTTAGGAAATATATTTTGGAGGAAATGAAAGCCAACATGCTTCTCCCTCAGCAGAGCAAACAATAACATGAATTTAAGTGAACTGGGATCTAGATTTCCACAAAGTATCTGCTTCTCAGCATCTTTCCTCAGCAGGTTTCTCCATCCTCGTTCTCTGCACTGCGTTTCCTGACCTATGTAATTCAAAGGCACTAGAGACAGAGGTGGAAACGTGTTCCTCTGCTCTTGCCTTCTGCAGGCCAAGATATTCTTACTCATTTGAACGAAGGGGAAGCAAAGGGGTCGCACTCAAGGTGGCCTCCGTTCCCCATCATTAGCAGAGGCTGGTTCAGTGGCTGCTGACTGGGCAATGGGAAGAGCATAGAGCCAAAATGCTCCAACAGGAGCTCTCTGTCCATCTCCCTCTCCCAGAATTCCTGCTCCAGGAACTGCCAGTGGAGCGTTACTTGGTGCCATTGGTCTCTCCACAGTCCTTGAGGTCCTCTAAGTACGTTCATGCTCCTCTTAGCCAGGACTCTCATTTCACCCCAAAAGTCTTGCCAGTATCTTCAGTGAGGTAACCAATGACTGAGTAGCATCCGGTCCACTCCTGATTGGCTTGATGTCCCCACTCAGATGTGTCTGAGGAGGGAAAACACACATACAAAAAACCCATGTACTTTTCCTAGGATATGGACATATACAGTATAGTGCTTGATTTTTCAGATGCAACCCAGAAAGTTGTCTGTTCCTGAGGAGTTCTGCTACTTGGTTACATAGGCTGGCTTAAGTCTGTCCCTTGGGAAGAAAAATTATTTGGAAGGCTACCTGGACAGAAGAGCAGAAAAACTAAGGACAATTGTCCCTGCATGTGAGACAGAAGACACCATTAGCTCAAGTGAACAATGCAGTTTCATGGATTGCAGGCTGATCACTGCAGAAGGGTGTGTTGAGAATCAGGAGGCAAAGACAGAAAGTAAGTGCCACTTTGTCTCTACTATAAATTAATTAATCTATAATTTATGTGTTCCCTTGGCATTTCTTTCCAGGCTAGTTTTAGTAGAACACAGATGAAGAGGTTGATCATTTAAGTCTTGAATCTGAAATGGTTACTTAAGACCAGCAGCAACATGCTGGATGTTTCTGCGATAAGAGAAATTTCTTGTGACTCTACTCTATGGAGAGAACCCGGAGAGGATTGACTACATACTACCAGGGATAACCCATTTATGTTATCTAATAGGGACTACATAAATTATTCTAGAACCATTCAGAACTCTTTTTGCATTAGAATTATGCCTATATCATGAATCCTGATTTGTGGTTCCACAATGAAAAACAGATAGGCTATTTCAGCAGAACATCAGTAAATGGTCTCCAAGACAGACTGTGAGAATTTACACTCCCAGCCTTTTCCTGCAATACTGTGCTAATAATGTCTTGCTGAAAATGGTGTGCTTTACATGGTGGAATTACATGTTCTTACTCCCCTGTCTCAGACAACATGAAGAAAGTATGACTGCACATGAGCTAGTCCATAAGTCTGAGATCACAACTCTAACTCTGGATAATCACTAATTGTGCAAAACTCCATGCTACATCCCACCTCATAAACGAACTCTCCAGGAATGGGCTAAACCACCACAATTATGATCGTAAGTGGTTTGAGTCTGTGACTGGAAAAAAATGCATAGAGAGAATCCTGGGGACAGAACTAGACAGACTGCCAAATAATACAGGTCATGCCTCATGTGCATAAACAATATTCATGCAAGTATTGTTAGTGAAATCCCATGCTACGTTTTCTCTCCAAAAGCATATGGATACCAACTTGAAACAGCCATTGCAGCTGGCTCACCTCAGCTGATGGAGAACGGGGCTTGGGAAGTGGGGGAAGCCCACAATCATATGCAAAAGTCAGGAAAGAAAGCTTCATACTTCTTTTTTTCCAGGACATGCACACATTCTACAGTCAGGTAACCAGGACTAGCCAAGCTATGAGATCTTTTCTAAATAGGAGAAGTCTTGCTTATTATGCAAGGTAATCATCTATCTAATCAAAACAAGAGTCCCTAACACATACCTAGTCAGGAACTTCTAGTTCACTAACAAGGTCCCAGGCAGGATCAGGAAAGGGAGGTGGAATGATGTGGTAATGCTGGAAGATGGTGGTTGCTGACCAGTCAGCAGTTCCATGTCCTGCATTCTCTCTTGTCCTTGGCTGCCAGAGCTAGCATCTTAAATGGTCTGTATCTCCTAGATGTACTCACATCCTCCTCCACACCAAAATTCTGGACACTCATCCAACCCAAAACCAAAACTAGCACATACACAAAAATGTACTTACCAGAACTCTGCACCTTGGCTGTGACAAAATTCCGGGCAGTACTACAGCACACAACTGGGTAGCTGAACTACTGCAGATAGTCAGCAGCCTGTAATTCTTAGAGAGCATTGGGTCTAGTTGGAAGGAAGGCTCTTCCTTGTCAAATCTGGCACCTGGAGCAACTACAACCACAGAGCCCTGGTTCTAGGGCACCTCCTGAAATTTTCTTAGACTAGACACAGTCCTGAGGAAGCGACATGCCCTAATACAAAATAATCTGTCCCTTTTTTGCCACAGGTCTCATCCAAGTTCTCATGAAAAAAATTAGGTGTGGCAAGCTGTTCCAGAAAGTCAGCTGCAGCCTTGGATTTAGAGACAGGCTGCTCTGGAGTCTTGGAAATGTAAATGGGTGGTTTGCCTGAAGTATTTTAGATAGGATCACACACCAGTATAAAACAGCTTAGCAACAGCAAAGCTCTACTACAAGGAAATTGCATTTTTCCAGTTTTTGGCAACCAGAAACTGGAAAACTATTTTGCAGACTGCTACATGAAGTGTTTTGCAGGAGAACACGGGGTGTGGTATGGCGTGCTTTAGCAATGAAACATAGGTGCAACACATGAGACCGTGCTGTAACACCTGCTATAACACTTCGGGAGGACTGAAGACAGGTTAGTTCACGCTGGTTGGGAGCAGCGGCATGGATTCTGCTTAAAGGGGCAGAACTTGAGGACAACCCAACATCCCAACATACCCTTGTCCAAGCTTCTCCATGAAGCTCCAAAATCACTCCAGAGCAAACTATAGAAGAAACATATACATGAGTAAACATGGATAACTGGACAGCTAAGACTCTGCGTATCCTGTTGGATGCAAGCTAACATTATAGTAAAGATATAACCAAAATCACCTTTAAGTAGTCCAATCTTTCTTCACCGACTGCTTCAGAAAGCCGAGTCCATGACAGGCTCTGAAATACTGTACCACAGCCAGACATCTAACTTTTAAGACGCTTCAATGCCTGATGTGGACAATCTCAGCAAAGCCTCCAACAGAACGAGACATGCACCACACTTAAGCCAATACCAGAGACAGCGAGCATCTTTCAAATTATTTTCAACTCACTTGCTCTTCCTGCTGGGGAACTCTGGGGAGCTGGGACTGGATGATCCATCAGACTTCAGGTCAAAGAAAGTTCCAGGACTGTCCAACACCCTCTGTATCCTCTCTGCAGTGTCTCTGCTCGGAGAAAAGAGAAACAAGCTATACTCAGAGCCAGAGCTAACTACTGTCTATTCTAACAGTCCTTTACAAGCCCAATACAAAGCTGGATCTCTCATATACATGTGAAACAGAAGTAAACACAGTTGTATTGAAAAGGGCAGACTCCTTACATGTCACATCTGACATATTCAAAATGGCAAACTTTAAGCTCCTTTTGAATTGATTTAAAAGCTTAAATTAATTTCAGTATTCACCTTTAATTCTTTAACTTTTTCTTTTATCCTCCCTCTTTCATTAAGATTTAATAGAGAGTGGCAAATATGATGGTTACTATAGTATTATTGCTGCTAGTACTTGCCAAGATACTTCTGAAGAAAGCTGTCTGTGTGAGTAACTGAAAAGAGAGGTATGTTTAATTAAGTAAAGGAAAACTAAGGGGTTTTTTGGGGGGGAGGGGGATGCTGGGGAGCTTCAGTGATGGGAGTTCACAGAGCTCTTCCCCTGCTCTCCTGGTCAGTTGATCCTACCTGTACCCCTCAAATCATAGTTCCTCACGCCCTCACTTGTGCTAATAGAATTGTTTGTGAGACTGGAAATTACCCTGACAAAAATTCTAAAATTAAAACAATCCTGAAACTTCTGTAACACATGAACAAGTGGGATGGACTGGGTCAGCTCCGTCACCAAAGCCTGCACATCATTAAATTACAGCTTCAGGTGAAGTCACACGTTGAGCTCACTGTTGCCAGAAAGAGAGAATGCTCCAGCCTCCATCACTCTTACTGACTGCACTTCCCATCAGTCCTGATACCCATCAAACTTCTCCATGAGCCAGTTCATGGCGGAATCTGGCAGACAATTATCAAGGAAAGCAAGTTGATACTTTTCCTCTTAGATTAGTGGGCTGAATCGGTTCCATGAAAGATCCACTGAGCATCTGAGCCATCACAAGGAACAGTCAGAACTGGGTAGTTGAAAGAGACAGTGGAAGAGGGGAAGTATCACATCTGCTTTTCAATAGCAACAAACTGTTAGAACAGAACAGTTGCTAGTGAAACCACACCTTCAAAAATGACCCAAAAAGTCTTTCACAAAATACAAGCTAAGGCTCCCTGTTCCTCATATCTAAGTTTACAAATATGCAAAAAGAAAGCTAAATAAGCCAAACAGCTTACCAGTTCCTCCTAGTAAAGAGCAGGAAAAAAAAAGAAGAAAATAAATCCAGGCATTTTCTTTATGATAGAAAAGTTTTACAGATTCTTCAAGGGGAAAGAAAAGCTTGTTGAACACAAAGTAATGGATTGAGGGACACAACTGCCTAAAGTACAAAAGTAATTAAAATAGTGAGAAGCTGTGGCTAACTGTGTTGGCTTAGACTGGGCAACAGGGCAGTTGTCTCAGAAGATTTTTCTCCAAGTAGATTCTATACTATTTTTATTCAGATTAGGTCATATGTACCTCATTAAGAAAGAACAGAATATGTAGTAATTTCCTTCTGTCATAAAATCACTGGTTTCCACATTAAAGATTACTTTTTCCCTTCTACATCGAGTCTTTAACCTGCTTTCTGGAATTCTTGCAACTGGGAAAATTGCATATTAGATGCACAGCACTCAGGTGACTTTTGAGACTCTGTATAATCTTAAAAAGGTGTCTCAGCTAGAGCTGAGAGAAATTTATGATTTATCTAAATAATCTCTGGTGACTAGTAGACAACTTTTGAATGGTTATAATTCTGTCAAATATGCCAAAACACTCCTTGAATCTGTATTCTTTCCATTAGTTATAATTATTTCTCAAATGATCTGACTTAAACACTAGTCTTTTTGACTTAATGCTTTAAAAAGAAAGTCCTTTAAGATACAAGAAGTTTTGCCTATTTGAACATTTTAACATGGAAACAAACAATCAAGCATCCCTTTACCAAGTACTAGCCTGTCATCTGACTCTTATCTAAAAGTGGTGAATACAGAAGAGGAGACTCAAGAGTCCTGGATCATACTGTAAAATATTTAAGAGCGATCTTACAATATTCCTCTGCCCATTTCCTCCAGTCCTCCTCAAATACTGATTCTCCCCACTTCCAAATGTCCTTTTTTAATTTTGTCTGTTTCTGTCATTTGTCCATTTCTCCAGCAGCTGATAATTAGGTTTTTCTTCCAACCATTTCCATTTCAGCTCTCATTCCTGTCAATTCCCCTTCTGTCTTTATATGTGCCTTTTCATGTTCCTTTTCTCATCTCCTCCTGTTTTTCTACCCTCTTTGTCTCATCTTCCCACAGTTCATACCTCTTTTCCTCCTGTATGTTCTCAATGCCAATGGCACTACTCCGTCGCCCATGGAAGCGGCTGGCTCGAGTACGTGATGGGCTCCTACCAGGTAAGGCAAAAGACTAGAAAAAAGGAAAGCGTGATAGAAGGGAAGGAAGGGAACAGGACAGGAAAAACTGTGGAGAACGGGAAGCGTGGCAGAAGAGTTTGTGACATGAATCCAGATCCTCTCCTTTACTCTGCAATACAATAGCATGGCTCGGCTCCACCTCTGCAAGAAGGAGTACTTTCTGTCAGTGAGAAAGAGCAGCCAGGGCTTACAAAGGTGGTATGAGAGAGGGACAGAGAGACACAGAAACAAAGGCAGAACACAGCCACTATACAGAGAAAGGAGCTCTGGAAGGGAGGTATCCCCCTTATGATGAGAGGAGAGGCAGAATCAGAAAGGTAAAGAAATCAAGAAGTTAAAGGTGTGGAGGAGGCAGCAAACCCAAGTCATTAATAGGCTGTGACTTCCTTGTGTTGACATAGAGAACGCATGCAACCAAGAAATCTTCCCACTGAAGGGCACCTTCTTGGCTTACTCGGAGATGCCTTTGTTGTAGTTTGCCTGTATTGACATCACTAGTGCAGAGACCACAACTGGCCGGATGCACTTTGGCCAAGGTAACCATATTTTCAGTATTGGAAACACGGATCCTTTTCTGGAAAGATTTGTCCCAGATTTATTATACTCATGCTGATCACATATGTTTAGTATCCCTATCAAATAAGAAAGATTTTGATAGTGACTAGAAATATTCATTCTTTTTCTCACCCCAAACTTTATTAATTTTGCTGTTTCTTCCAAACATGCAAATTCTATTTACAGCAAAACAGCACCTTGAATATATATTGTGCACCTGTTTATATTACAGAAAATAATCTGATTGTTGAAATTGAAAAAAGTTAAACAGTTCTAGTGTCCTTATGTTCTCAGCTCTTGCCATATGACAATACAGTACCATTCTGGTCAAACTATAGTGCATGCATTTTTTAGCATATGGCAAGGTACAGGATCTAATCCAGGATAGTAGAGATATATGTCAAAAGTAGAACCATGTTTGACTTTCTTCTCCCAGTTTGCATGAATCTCAGCTCTAGCTGACACATGAACTGAGGCTAAAGGACAGGCACAGACAAAACAGACTGCAACACATACTTTCATCACTTGTGAAATGGGATGATACAACAAAAAGATTCACAGGCGGTACAAGAGGACAAACTAATAGGGAAAGAGAAATAAAATGTATGGGTGGCTACAAAGGTATGCCGGGTTTTCTTCTTACAGCCCACCCGAATACCTTACCGCAGCAATGGCCTTAGGGCCCTCGGCGACACTCTGGCTGAGGGCAAGGCCAGCTGTAGCTGGGCGGCTGGGCAGGGTGGCTGGCTGCTGCTTTCTCATGGATATCCCCATGGTATCCAGGCTCTGGCTGCGGCCTCTGATCACCCGCTGAACAGGAAGGAGGCAGGGAAACAGACAAACACAGATATACACATATAGACATGCACACGGTAGGGTAGTATGAGAAGCATCACAGATTGAGTGGAAAGTTGTGACAGACCGACATCAGAACCACACAAATCCTGATTCCTAGAAGGTAGCATCTTAGATACTGTCCATACTACTTCATGCATGGAGCTCTGGGAAGAGCCAGGGAGGAACTCTTCCTCATGTATATTCTCAACTTTCACTTCCCTTGTCCTTTTGCAATAATTCGAGATTCCCTACCAGTATCCCAGCATACTGGATAAGACAGCATCTACTGGAGCAGTCCTACCCAGTAGAGGCTATAAAACGCAAAATCAAACTCCTGTTCAAGACTGTAAGGTTCAGTCTTGTATGAATTTCAGTGCTGGCTGCAAGGGGAAAGCAGACATCAAAATCTGAAGCATTTGAAAAAGCCATTTTCTGAGTTTACTCAGCCTTTTCCAGCCTTTTACAAAGGTCATCTGTATACATGACATGCAAACCACAGTATCTGCTAGAAGTCAGAAAAGGGATATTTTAGGGTAACTAGAGTAAGACATGGATGGGTATAAAATTCATGGTTAGTAGCAAAGGCAGGGTAGATTGATTTTATGTAAAAATGCACCTCACCAAAGCATCCCAGATCTGACCAAAGCTATGCACATAGCTAAAGAAACTGTATGTGAATGGATTCGTTTCAAAGCCCTTAGTAACTCTAACCAGCCTACCATACAAAGCAGGTGGAGGTCATCTGAAGAAATGCTATTCATAACACTTCTTTCCAGACAAAAGTGACATCAGATTCTCTCTATATAACCAGTTCAAAACTCAGTTTGCCCATTCATATAAAAACTTTGCTTTCTCGTATCATCTTGATCACTTTCAAAACAATGTTCTGTCACCTGATCCTGACTTATTAAAAAACTGAAACAAAACAACACCATGCCATTTACACTGAACAAAGATAAAATAACTCTGGCTTTTAGAGAGTAAGTAAAGCATCACAGTTTTTCTAGACAGTACACTCAGAGAGCCTTTTGCAACCGGACGTGTCTCATATTGGCCTTTTTAGCCACCAATGCGCTTGTAACAAACGTGGGTAGAGCCCTTCCCAAATCTTTGTTCACGAAGCCCAGCCATGACACTCAGAGACAGTTTAGAAACTCTCTTGTAGTAGTTCTTGCAACTCTTCCAATTATAACAAAAATGAATTGGAGGAGATCTGCTGTAGGAACCAAAAGCCCCTTGCTACTAGTTATTACAATTCCACTTGCAAACAGTTTCCTTTTTCTGTAAGTCACAGAATAAAACCCCATCTGACACTAGACACCAGCATGAAGCACAAAGAGTTTGACTTCTACAGGCCAGTATGGAATTCTGCACCATACTGCACCTGCTCTGTAGGATGGCTCACCTTGAAATTTTCCAGGAAGCCCCCACTGCCATTCTCTATCTTGTCATCCTCCCCTGTGGGTAATCCCATCATACTGCGGCTGCGAAGCTGCAGCTCCTCAAAAAGGCTCTCCAAGAGGGCACTCCGTGTTCTTTCCTGCATCAGCATTGGAAATGAGAATATCTTTTAACAGGAGCGGAGGATTTTTTCCCTGTTTTCTCAGTGTCTCACATCCTTCTTAAAAAAACCCAACAACCAACCAAACAAAAAATTCCCAAAACAGCAACAACGAGAACAACAAAACCCCATGAAAATACTTCAAACAGTATGAAGTGTTTTAACTGCATAGTTACAGTTTACAGTTTTACGACACAGTTATTATTGCAGTAAGACCCAGCCCTTTTAAACTCTTTCTAAAGCAAGTCATAAAGGACACTTTTTTACAGCTGATGAGACAGAGGCATGTTTTTTCCAGATCAGGCAAACAGCAGAGTCTGGAACAGAATTTGGTACCAAAAATCAGTGATATCAGTATGCATCCTGTACCATAATAGTGAGTTTCAGCTAATACAGAATTTCCTCCAGCAAACTGTATGTGTCACATTCCCATTCTTACTTGAGGATTAGACCTTTACATTAGAATGCACCTGTTCATATTCTATCACACCTGCTATGAAATATGAAGGAAGCATCCCATAACTGAGTATTAATCACATTTCATCTTCCTTTCTTAAGCAACACAAAATCAAAAGTTAAAAATTTTACTATATTTTCTTAATCTGACAATAATATCTTTATAACTACATATAATTATAATTTTTAATGGAAGCAACCAGGTAATAGACCCACCTCTAATTTAGCAAATTTCTCAGCTCGATAGCAGCTGTACTCAGCATTGATGAGCTTGACCAGAAGGAATTCACGAAATTCTGCACTCTGTAAGATAAGATGAAGACTAGACTAAACTGGAGATAAAAACAGTAATAAAAATATCACATGATAAAAGCTCTGCTTACTACTCTTTGGACCTCCAAAGTCATTTAGCCAGACTGACTCAGAACATTAAGTGTGTGTACAATATCCTCCTGCCATCTAACATTGGACCAGAGAAACAAACCTTTTTAAATATGGCTGGATTTGGCAGAGGGGGTCCAAAGAAGGGGACATCATCTCGGGCTGTGACTGAAACCTGAAATAATATAAGGGAGAAAAAAAAAGTATCGTAACACAAGTGAAACTATCAAAGTTTTCAAACTACTATGATAGACCTGATCCCTTCTGAATAATTTACATACCCAAAAGAGATCTAATACAGCGTCCTGTGCATCCCTTTGTTTCTGAACTCAGTGGATGAATGTGCTGATTTATCTCCTAGAAATTCAGCTGGATGTGCACACAGCAAGAACAACAAAAAATTGAACCGACTGCTTTTTTAAAAAATATTTTTAATAATAACCAGTATAATCAGTATATTTACCAAAAAAAATGTTTCTATTCAGGTTGCAAGATAGATTTACCTCCACTAGAACAACTTTGGTCAACATGGTTGTACTGACCTATTTGTTTTTTACAGAGAATCCTTGGTAGAGATATACTGCACACTGAGAGGAGCATCTCAGTGTCACTGCCTCTCTGAGTCACGGGTGATAAACATGCAAAAGCATTTTCCCAGTATGAAATAAGGAAATGCATGAGTTTTGTTTGTTTTATTTTTAACATGCTCCTACCTAACATATCAATGTCAAAAAAAAAAACTGTAATGCAGGCCAGCTTTTACATAGTCACTTGTCTCCTCACAGCACTTACTTATAATTACATGCAGCTATCTTACCACAGCACTTCACAACATTTCAGAGTTAATTTTTTTGTCATGTTTGAAATGGAGCAATATCGTTATTTGCTATTTCATTCAAGAGGGAACAATGTCATGACAATTGCAGCTGCCTCAAAATAACAACGAATAAACGTCACAGAGCCACAGAGCCAATGAGAGGTGTGAGTTTACCGAGAAGAAGCAGTGAATTTTTGCGCCCTACAATACAGAGAACAAGAGAAGTGGAATCCCATGCCCCTGATCAGCATGAGGCTTTCATTTGTCACTACAAAATGGCTGCCCAAAGCAGAACAATGGAAGATGGTTGCTCCACCAACACCCTCTTCGGTGGAAAAGCAGATGGAGATCCTGTCCTAATTTTGGTATTCTCAGTGTTCCTGTAGACCTCCAAGGCATAGGGACTCATCATCACCAAATCAAAATCCCTACATAATACGAGACATAACACACGGATTAAAGCGTTTCTACAATGGAAACTCCATCATAAATGCAAGTTTCTTTATATTTTCTGCTCTTTAAGCATGACTGAAAGTTGAACATAAAGATATATAGACATCCATACAGAGTCATGTCAGGGAGGGAGAAAGAGAGCTGTATCCAAAGACTGCAGATATGGAATATGAGCTCTAGCAGGACTTCTTTCAACTGGAGGGCCCTAACAGGTAGCTGTTCCCTACCAGATAGGCATCAGTTCTGAGATCCCCAAAAGCAGGTGTAGATCCCATAGATTAGGATAGCCAGCTGTATCTGACCTGAAATCTCAGGCAGTGCAAGCTCTAAGCACTGCGCGGTACAGCAGAAGAAATGCAGACATGAATTTTACCTGACTTATATCATGTAAGCAAGACAACCCCCAAAGTGGGATCAATTGTGCCTCATGTCCCTTGATGTAAACAAAATTCTTTTATCTGAATTCTTCCTGCTTCTGTTCCCAAGCTTCAAGCTTCAGAAATTCATCAGCTACTTTGAAAAACATACAACTAACACTCTAGTTTCATGTGCAGATACTTAAGAAATGAGGATGACAGCTGACTGAACCTGTACCTCTCCCAGAGGCCCAAGTACAGGTTTCCACTTCAAGGATCAAAATCAGTAGAGGGGAATCTATTGATTCTGGTTACCTTGTAGAGAGTGTCCCCAGTGGTGCTATGAGTGAGCTGAACTACCACATAAGCATGTAGGAAATTAGAAGCAATCATATCAGGGACAAAAGGTGTGCTTTCATCCTGGAAGATGATGGCTACAATGTCATTCCCAATGTGACGCTTCCGCTGAAGCTGGAGAAGAAAAAATAATAAAGAGAGAAGGCAGGTGAAAAAGTGCAGAACAGTACAATGGGGCCTCAAACACCCGTTTGCCAAGCATCTCAAACCCCTGTTCAAGCAAACCCCTCACCACTACTTTTACCATTACTCCAGCCATGATTCCCAACATTATACAGCTAGTCGTTCTCCCCTCTACACAGTCCTTCTTCGAATATCCCCCCTCTCTTAGACACACTGTTGTAGTTCTCCTTCTGATACCTGTTGGGAATCTCCCTCTGTGAAGGGCAGCTTTGTAGATACATGAAACATGATCTCCTTCCCCCGGAAATTTGTATAGACTGACTCAGTGCCTGTTTGACCTCTGGTAACATCCAAGCCTCCCCGGAACCTGAGCAAATCCATACCACGCCATAGGTCAGGCAGTAGAGATGAGAAAGTAGAAAGAAAAACGACAGTATCAGTAACAGTAGTACATCAATATTATCAAAGGTAATTTTTAGGAAGTCAGTGATAGTGACGCACCAAATCTTACCCAAACCAATGCACTGACTGAAGCTGCACAGTGTTTCTGCTGGTGAACGTACCAGCTTGCTAAAAGCTATGAAGCTAAACCAGGGATCCTCAAAGATGCTACTTTCTTTGGTATTCTTCTGAGAAACACACTCCATATTTCAGAACTACAGAAGGGATGGGCTGCCCCACAGAAAGAGCCTAAAACAATACTGTTCCATACCATTGTGAAACAAACTTGTATTTGCACTTGTTAAATAAAATTATTCTTTGATGTTACTGCGGGTCAGACTGAGATACCAGGAAAATACCAGCAGACACCTAACTAGTTTCCAGCCACGATGGCTGACAAAAGCATCCTGGGCTTCTTCACCTGCACTGGGATTCAGAGGACACAGCACTTCTCTGAAAGCAGGGCTCTAACAGAGTCGCAGCCTGTGAATGCACAGTGTTCTCTGACTCAGTTTGGCTTTCTAGCTGCGCTGGGTACGCACCCACGGAAATCCTGCAGCTGAATCTTGTCACCAAGAAAATCCAGGAACTCCAGGAAACCCTGACTCTCTACTGTGTTACTGAAGACTTCTTCTTCAGTTGTCTACAAAAGGAAAGCAGAACTTGTAAGAAGCACAAGCAGTACAAAGAACAAGCAGTAATTTCTATGCACAATTCAACCAACAAACATCTCTGCTTAAATACATTTCTGATCTGGGCCTTCCATGGTGCTGGGGATTCCTACCTCAGCCCCAAGCAGCCATTAGGGTTAGACTTAGGGTTCAGAGATCCACAAAGCCTGCACTTCCATGGACACTGGGAGTGGAAGAAGCATGCCAAGGGAAGCATGGCATTGCACCAAAATTGCTTCCTCCACACCTTTCTCATCTGGGCCACTTCATGGTTCTGGGGAGCTTTGCCTCATCCCTAAACTGCCTTTAGGGTTAGGATTAGCATTCAGAGATCCATAAAGCCTACAGCTCCAGGGACAATGGGGGTGGAAGAGACAAGAGAAGGGAAGCACAGCACTAGAACAATATCACTGCCTCCACGAACTTCATCTGGGCCACCTATGAAGCTGGGACTTCTGCTTCAATCCCAAGCTGTCATTAGGGTTAGGGTTCAGAGATCTGCAAAGCTGCCAGGGATACTGGAGGTGGAAGAGGCATGCCAAGGGAACCACGGCACTGCACAATCACTGCTGGCCTCTGCACCGCACAGATCTTCTTATTACATTTAAGCTAAGAGAACTGACTCTTTGCATTTTGTCTCACATACAGTGGGATCTGACAGAGCTTACCTGTCCAGGTTTCTGGTAGATGACCCCAAATTTGAAGTTATTGCTTATGACGTGTTCATCAAATGCAACAATAAGCTGCGAAGCCTGAGGTAATGAAAACAGAAATTATCAGCTGGATGTCATTAGCCAGATCTTGAAGGAAAAGTGACACAGACATACCAGAACACTGTACCTTGGGATAGAGGACAGGAAAGAAGCGTTCAACATTCACATCCTCACACAGTAGCTGTCAAGTGAGAAAGAGAGGGAAACAGAAACATGATTATCATTTGCCCTAGCTTGCTACACACATGAGAGTGCAGGCACTGTTTACAATTATTTGACAGGAGCCCCTTCAGGCAAAAAATCTGAGCTAAAATTAAAAGAGAAAGAAGAGAAGCTAAATGGAAGGGTAGGAGGGAACTATATGACAGTTCTACTGGGAAATAGTAGAAAAAGAGGGAAATGGGAAGACAGAAGTGAAAATAACTTGAAGAATGAGGTCTTAAACAGGCAAGCATGAATCTCACCTTTGCCATCTGGACAGCATTGGGAAACTCATTCAGACAGGAAATGGGGATTAGGTCATGTTTGGTGCCAGTACGAGTCCTGACACAAAATAAAAAAAGGCATTAGAGACATAGCTGAAGGGAAACACAAACAACACTGGTCCTTTCTTAAAGAAAGGTATCCATTTCTTCAGAGTATCCTTAAAGCAGTAAATCCCAAAGGGTTATTTTAAGCCTGGTGCATAAAGTCACTAGAAAAACAAGGTCCTTTCAGTTCTTATTGTTCATCACTTGTTGTGGGAAGCAGAGGAAGACGAAACAGGAATGTTTATTCTCTTGCTCCTTTGCATTCTTTTGTTTAAAGAAATATTTTGCTTTTCTTTTGCCCCCCGATTTTCTTTCACAGAAATCTAAATGCTGAAATACAATTCATGAACAAAGAATAATAAAGGATTCCTAAGACCACATATTGAGGGCTTGAAAGACTGTAAAAGGTCTGTTATAGACAGCTTAGGAAAGCAGATCTAAGCAAAGTAAAGGAGGCAGAAATTGGTGTAGCATTGTTCCAGAAAGATAAAGAAAAGCTTCCTTCCTCTATATTTGTATATTTAACGAGAGATATCTTTCTAAGAAAGAAGAACCATCGATCTGTCAGAATCCTCTTCAAACCATTATAAACAAGCTACTGACCAAAAAGTACTGCATATAATGAAATATCTTAATAGAGGAATTTCTACCCTTTTGTTCTTCCTTGGTCTCTTACAGGGAAGGGTTTGGGGCTCAGATAAACATTCCCAGGCACAGCTCATAAATAGGCTCTCTCTTTATTTTAAGATTATTGCTGGCACTGAAGCATTATCTGCATACAGTGATGGAAACCCACCAGTGATTCTCTTGTAGCTGACTCCTATGCAACCAGTATTTTCCCTCAGTCCTGGACGAATCCTTCTCAGCAGCAACTGTATTAGAATAACTGTTGATTCCAGTAGCATGTTGCCTACTGGAAATTCACCCAGCCCATACTGTGGTAAAAAGCTTTTCTGAAGCGTTGCCTCTCACCCATGCAAGGTCCATCTCTATTCTTCCTCTAGTTCACTCAGCAGCTCTCTCTGGGCAATGTCTCTCTGTGGAAGCCCTAAAGGTTATGGCACTTTGTAGGCTGCCCTGGGAACCTAGGAAATGTTCTAGCTCACCTTCAAGGGAGTCTTAGTCTCAAGGACAAAGCCTGGGCTAGGCTGTCCTCCATTAGGAAATCTATATTCTCCTAGAGAGTACTCACATGTCTCTAAGTAAACAAAAAACCCAGAAAAACTTCCTATTTGAGGGAAGAACAGGTATCTTTCACACAGCTACTATAAAGACGCACTTGCAAGCACCACTTCAGCTTCCTGAAGGAGACTGCTGAGAGCAACTCAGAGGGGAAGGCAAGCAGAAAAATGGCTCAAAGTTTTCTTTGTGGTCCTCTCCAGAAGAAAGTCATGAAATTCACATAGAAGGAAGCTCAAGGTAAGATGAGAGACACAGCACAGTAACATATGCTTCAACAACAGCCACTGTTACCTCAGCAACAGGCGTAGATTTTCCTGCTTCTCAATCTGTTCATACTTCACAGAAAGTACTAGGTAGCCCAAGGACATGTCACTGGAGTAAAAGTTCTGGTGCTCCTGCAAACAGGAAGCCAAAATGCATTATTCCCAACATGCTTCCCAGAGAAATTTACCAGATTTTTTTGCATACAACCTGTCACTCAAGATTAGCTGATTTTTAATTTAACTAGCAATAGCATGCTTGAAGACATGCATATGCTGTCTTCCAGCCCACTTGATCATCAATGCATGAGCATATCAGTCAGAGTGCATCCACTGTCAATTCATTTTCTCCTCACCTGTCCAACATCAGAAAGGCTCCTGAGAAGGAATAGGATTAGAACATTCAGCAACACATTTTGAAGAAATCGAGTTTCTTGTAAACAAAATTATATCTTCCGTGGACTTTCCCTGTATTCATTCAGACTGTTCATGACTAAGCAGTGGTCCTCAGCACATTCAACTGGATGTGGTTGTGGGAATTTTCTATACAAAAAGTAAGGATCATTATGCCAAATGGTTGACCTCCAAGAGTGCTCACATCTCAGGAAGGATACAGTCAGTAAGTAATCACATTGCAGATGAATGTTCTCAGCAGTGCCACTGACACTGCTCAAGCTTTAGCAGTGTGCCTAGAACAGAACCATTCAGTCAAACCATGAGCCACAATGCAAACATTTTTACAGTCTCTGTATGTAAGTGGCTGTGGTCAAACATTTCTCCTGCTGCACAGCCATATTCCAATGGTCTGTGTATATCAATATATATTGATATATAACCTCTAATCTCAAAAGGTTAAAGCATTTTGACACAGGATGTGAATGGAAACCTCTAGTACAATGAAAATACTACAAAGGTGGAATCATGCAGAAATGCTTTGATCACTCCCACCGTCCTAGTGGAAAACCTGTTTACAGCCAGTATTCAGAGCTGGCTGCTACAACAAACTCTGACCGAAGCACTGAGACTGAATTTATGCTTCCAGCAAACAGTCCAAACTTAACGAATTTGAGGTATAAGCAGAGAGACCAATGAAAATGTCATGCAGGGAATTTGGTTCTCTTTGGATTAGATTAATATCTTAATCTTTTGCTGATAACGAGAACTTCTGTTGAAAGGGGCAATAGTACATTTCAGTATTTAGCCTCCAACCCAGAGGAGTTCTTTCCTCAGCCTTTTGCATAGAAAATATAGAAGGTCTGTTCTGGCTTGCAGAACTTCTCTCAATACAAAGGTGACAGCCTTTTGCTGTCTACACGTTTTTTTGTATTAGTCATAGCTCTGACTCACTGTGAAATAAAAAGATATATCTAGTGAAATACTCTGATATCTAAGTGGACACAACCAACTTGAAGTTAACAGACATGAACCAATTCTCTCTGTGAAACAAAAAACGGAATAACTAAGACTACAATCACTACCCTGAACCTCAATGTGAAGATGAAGTTATCCAACTTCTTTAATTATTAAAGATATGATTGTCCCCATTTCCTCTTTGGGACAGGAAAAAACAACACCCAGAACTGCCCTGCTACTGACTTATGGGTAAAAGGTTTCACAGCTGATCAAATGAGAGGATCTGAAAAAGTTAAAGTGTGAGTAAAGAGCAGCAAAGAGGCAGAGTAATATGGCCTCTAGCTGCAGTGTTCAAATCCCATAAGTTCAGTGTGATCTGTCACACAAGTCAATGATAGTGACTGAACTTATCTGTCCATGGGAAGAAAAGGTGAGATCAAAGGAAGCCACAAAGGACAGTTTATTTCTTCTGATCATGACTTTCAGGATACTAATAGATTTTTGGGATGTGAACAAGAATCAGGTGCCCTGTGACCAAGGGCAGAAAGACAGAGTAGCTGAGGAATAGACAGATTCAAGGAGCAAAACAAAAGCATGTTCAATGGTCAGCTGAAGTCTAGAATCAAAACCCATAAATGAAAGAAGTCATATGCTAGGGTGGATGGCCAAGACAGGCTGTTAAGGAAAAATATGGCACAATGCCAATAAACGTCAGGACTAGAAGGCAGAGCAAAAGACAAGGAGCCAAAACCTGAAGTTAGCTGCAGCCAAAAGTAACACTGAGCTGCAAGGACCAGAAATCAAGATTTCTTTTGGTGAGACTTCTAAGCCACACCCCAGCAGATTTGACACTTTGAGATCTCAGTTGCTTTGGAGACCAGGGTATCAGCTCTGTAGGCAACATAACAGGGCTACACAAAACGGTGCAATCTTCACAGTGGAATGGGCACCAGAATTAGTGGAAGTCTTAAAATAACCGAATTTTTTTCAAAGATGCTCTGGCTGTGTAACTTGATCCTGAATGTAAGCCTGGGTTTTAAACTGAGATCTGAGTAATCATATGTATGTATAAACCTGTAATTTCCTCATTATGATTTTCTTTTTCCTCTGTGATTTTATTTCTCTGTAAAAACACATAGGAAACAGAAGGCAGACTCCGAGTCCTTCAGTGGACAACAGCATTTATCATTAGCTGTCCTGATATTAAGAGATGAACCATCAGAAGACTTTATGGTTAATACTGAAGATTCTCAGTGGTGACAAGATACCCTGGAGCTGAGATGACCTATATATAGGTACAAATTTCTTCAGCCATAGAAGCAGTTTCTGTAACATTTAATGCAGTCTGAAAGGAAGGTTTGGATTTCAAACAGATCTCTGTGAAAAGAATTAAGTCTCTTCCATGGGTCCAAGGGAAAAGACTAACTGACAGTTTGCCTCAGAAGTTATAAAGTTATTAAGACATCTGCCATCTGCAGCAACAGTACTTTAACCAGCATGAAGAAAGGACAACCTAACGGAGAAACACAGGAATGCACGGCAAGAAAGCTTCTCTCATCAGCACTGCCAGCCTCAAGCACTTGTCAAACTGCACCCTAAGTTTCTTTGACTGGCAGTTCCAATGTATACTTTTATTAAATCCCTCCTGGCTTCAGGCTACTTCTCTTTATTATAGCTTTGGAAAACAAAGTAGACATGGAATTATTCCCAAAGTATAAGACATAAGGTTTTACAGCCTTCTTCCTACAGGCAGAATAAATCTTACTGTGTAATCATCATGTAAAATACAGACCATGATGCAAAGAAAAGGAACTGAGCTATGGCTTGTGTGTCCTACCGCTTTTTTTGAAGGTTGTTTTAGAGAGTCTGCTATAAAAAGTTCTGCAAAAGAGTCAAAAGAATTGTCTGAGTGACCTGTATATGCACACCCATGCATAACACAGACATGCATATTAAGTTTGTAATACCACACAAATGCTCTAATTTCCCACCTTTTCTAAAGGATATTCCCTGAACCATTTGGCTGTGCCTCTCCCACCACATGATGCTTTTGGACTCTTCTTCAGCTAAGAACTGTTTACCATTATTCAAAGTTTGAAAGAGAATTTTCTTGACATCGCTGAAATAACCCTTCCAATGTTCTCAGCAAGAAAAGGACTCAATGCACACAGAATCAAAATCAATGGTATCACAAACTTTGCACTGAAGAAATACTCATCTAGAGAAAAAGCTCTGAGCTCCCTCCTTACCTAAGCCCTTAAACCATTGGGTAAAGTTTTCTATTAGGAAGACTTTTCTGTGACAAGAGTCCTGTTCACCCTGTTCTTTTCTGACACTGGCTTGCTCAAAAACATGCATGTTTAATTGAACACAAACACACATTCATATCAATTAAGGCAAAGAATAAAACACTGGACACTAGAATAGGAATAATATAGGAGAGAGGAGATTTTCTGTAGTACTGAGGCACTGATGGTTGGGCACTCTGCAAATACAAAGTCTGATGATACAGGGAATCCTGGATCTCACTTGCAAGGAACAATGATGATATGGCCCTGCTTGAGCAGGAGTATGGACAAGATGAGCTCCAGAGGACCCTTCCAACCTCAACTGTTTTGTGGTATCAGGTCAGCAGTGAATCCTACAATCAGATTGAAAAAATCATATCCCAATTTGTCTCTCATGCTATCTGTCTCTGGAAGCCTTCAAGCACAACCCCAAATTCAACATGACATAAAAATAATTACAGTTGGCATACTGAAAGCTTCCAGAAGGTTGCAGGATAAATGTCCATTAGCAGATTGCACAGCAAATCTGCCAGTCTTGAAAGGAAGTCTCCAGGAAGGCTTTCTTTTTTTTTCCTAAGTACTTATAAATTATATTAATATCAGTTTTCAGAGTTGCATACTACACAAGCACAACTAGTGCTGGGGACCTGCTCAAAGCTCTACCTATTCCTGTTTTTGAACTCACTGTGCAGTCATTGAGGGAGATCACTGAGTAAGCAGCATGAGTACACCTGTCAGGCTTTCTTATCTCTTTATGCTATGAACTGAATCTCAGAAGAGATCATGGTTTGTTCTCACTTGTTCTTGATGGCTAATATCATCCTTAGATCCAGTCTGGTAATCAGCCAACTCACTAAGTAGGCCAACCCAGATGGACCTTAATGGCCAGCCAGCAAACATACACTTTATGAGGCCAAGCTCTGTTTCCCTATGTGTCAAATTGAATTTTTTTAAGTCAAGGAGCATTTAGCACCAAACTCACTGTGGTGGTTTGGAGCTGGCTCCCTGCCAAGTCCCCAAACCCCACCGCAAGAGCTCCCCCCCCACCAGAACCAAGGGAAAAGAAAAAAAACCAAGAGAACCGAAATAAGAGAGCTAAAGCAACATATAAATATATTTACACTTATATTACATTTATATACAATTACAAAAACTATATACACATTAAAAAAAAAAAAACCAACAAAAACAGAAAAGAGAAAGGGAAAAGGAACAAAACAAAAAAAAAATGAAAAAACAGGTATACACACTCAATAAAGAACTAGCCAAAGAAAACCTTAATACTTTCCTTGACATAGCACAATCGCACTCAACACCGCCGCCACGCTACCAGACCCCAGATCGGCAGAAACAACAGGCCCTGTAGGCCCGGCCAGGCCTCAGCTCCCCCACAGGAGTGAGACCAGCTGCAGGAGTCTGCTGTCTCCAAACCTTGCCGGAAGGGAAGAGAGGAAGCGGCTTCTCTCCCATCTTATTTATACTCTAGCTTACGTAAAAAAATACTGGGAACATGGTCACTTCCTAGTTCTGACCTGATTACCAGAAAGGCCTAAAAAACCAAACCACTACGCTCACTTAAATCAACAACTATAAAACACACATTCCAGTTTCATCATACAGATTCTATGATGACCAAACACTGAGGAAAACAGACCATTTTTCTTCCTACTGAGAGGCTTGCACTGTCAGTGGTGAAGTCCCCTCTGAAATAATACCATCTCCATTTCCAATTTTATTACACTGTTTTCCCCTTGTCATCCCAAGGTTGGTATCTGTACAGAAGCCTCAAAATAGCTTCTTAACCAAATATAGTAATTTCCTGTGCAAATCTTTCTCTTCTATTAATGCACAGGATGATGCACATTTCCACATTTCACAAGGAGATAGAACCAACTTAACGTACTACAGGCTGTACCACAGTATGTACTTTATTTACACTAGTTCAAGACATCATAAGGAACTGAAATGGAGCAGCTCTGCAGTCATCTCTAAATCCATCAGAAAAAGCTTGAGAAACATTTCAGTCTTGAGGCTGAAAAGAAGGTTCTGAAGGTCACCCTTACCTTTCCCAGAAAATGTTTGCGGTACAGCTTGGCTGTAGGGTCACTTTCCAGTTTCACTTTACCACTCCAGGGAAAGGGTACATCAGACAGAGTTGGACTCAAGCTGGACAGGTTGTGGCTGGTCCCTTCAATCCAGTAGCCCCCAAACTGGGGTAAGATAATGAGAGGATATGGCCACCCTTTCTGTAATACCTATTCAGAAGGACGGAGAGCATCAAAACCCACACACCAATAAGCTGGAAGGCCAATAAGCTGAAAAACCAATAAAATCCAAGGAAAAACAGTGGAGAGTAGTACTAACTCACCTCATGGATGCTGGGGTAAGGAATATACTCCTCTTCTGTCTGAAATCAGAAGAGACCATTAGCAAAAGCATGTGACATCTTTTAAAGTGTTATGCGCTCATGATGGTGCAAGCTGTGCTCTCAGCTTCCATTCTTCCCTAGATCATCTTTAGAGCTTCATTTCAGGATTAAAGGTTAGACTCCATTTCCAAGGTCTCAGCATTGTAATACAGAACTTTGAGAACAAATTTAGAAGTCAGATTTTACCCACCCTCCTCCTTGAAATCACAGAATATAGGCATGGAAAATGTGGAGGTAGCCAAACTATAGGCAAATTCAATGTGGTTAGAGGAGTCTCAGTATCTCTCTTTTCCTTCCACATAGTATTAGACAGCTGCTGTTCTTCTGCAGACAGAGATGACAGCAGGAATAGTAGAAACAGTACTGTTATTTACAGTGAGACTGAGGTTGTGTCATCTCCATTGCTAGATCTGTGGCATACAACCACAGGTGCTGAGGCATGACTGAGGGAAGAGGAACAGTATCTAAGCCATTTTATGCCAACTGGATGCCCCTTCCATCACCACAAAGATCACTGACTATCTCTGTCAAACTGAGCTGTATCAATTCTCTAAGTGGTTTTTTTTAAAAGGTTATTCCAAGATTAAAATCAAGGTCAAGTTTGATTTTAAGTTTACTGGGCCTGAGCTGAGACTGAAGAAATGGAGAGGAAGAGTTGAGGATTTAAAGATGGGAATCTGTCCTTATTGTCCTAATATTGAGCAAAATGGACCAGTTTTCTAGAGTATCTCTATGTGTCTTCAAGCAGACTACTGAAATAAATGCAATCTGGTTTCATGGATATTATTACAGCTGTTATATTGACTAAATTTAAGAAATTACTTAGGCAAAATTAAGACTGCAAATAATAATAAACACTTATTGGAACCATTAAATTAGAAAAAGGGAAGTGTTAATTCTATTTCAGCTACACAGTTTCACCCTTTTGTGCAGCAATGAGGAAAAAAAAAGAAAAAAAAAAGGCAAGCATATATGTGTTCTTGGGATGTTTGTGGACTCCCTGTTCATCCAAGATGAAAATATACTGCAAGCCAGGTCAGTAATTATCTGCCATTCTCAGCAAATTAAGAGGCAACAATGACTTGGTCTGACCTTGAGAGGAGCTGGAAGGGAACATCTCTGTTCATCCAGACGACTCCCCTGGAAACATAAAGTCATAGACAGTGAATCCTAAATTTTAGCATGTCTGTTTCACTTACCCTCTGTGTCCTTCTCCATATACTTAATATGCATATTTTGTCTCTCTACATAATCTTCTATTTTATGCAAGTTTGGAAGTTTGAATTAAAAAGAGCAGGAAAGCTAGAACTTGGCCAGTCCCCTAGTTTGACATTAAAACTGAAAGGCTACCCCCAAACTTACATCTCTTAAAAAGCAGAAAGTTGGGAGATATCAAAAGCAATCTCCCAAACTGATTATCCTATGTGCTACTCTAATCTCTTCTAGCTACTTTATTTCCTATCCAAAGCAATATAAAAAAGTGGAAGAGGTAAAGACAGAACACAAAAGAACAGTATTTCCAATCATTCTTTCCTGTTCTATTCTTCCTTCTCCCTCGAAGATATTGTCAGGCAAAGCATAGAGAGCCTCAAAGCAAGGTTCAGGGAAGTAAAAAACACTTGTTTTGAGCATTAGAGTTAAACAAGAAGCCCTTTTCTTATCAAGCAGCTCATGTGCCTTGCTTCCATCCACATATGGGAACAAATCCACCTCTTGGAGGTAAGGCAGAAAATCAGAGCTTCTCTCCATCCAAACATTTGACTAGTGCAAGAGACTCTTGAAGGCAAAAAGGAGTCACATAGTGAAACCATGTACATCTGCTTTCCCAGGCACCATTACCACAAGGTGGGTTGGAATTGCAAGGCAAAAGGCTACTGAATGTCTGTTTCTTCCTGAATCAGGAGCTGGCATCCAGACTTGGTTCTCTTTCTTTAAGGCTATTCCATCCTCTGCCTTCTCACCATGGCAAAGGAGCTCACTTCCACCACACCTCTGCAGCAGAAGCATACGAGAATAGGAAAATTTTATTGAGGATAGCCCCAGCACAGAGCATAGGCCCAGGACAGAAGAAGCCAAAAAGACACGGGGGGTCAACAGGCCATAGTCAAAGTCGCCATCACAGACTGAAGAATAAGAGCCAAAATTGGCATTGCTGGATAAGAAGCTGAAAACCAGGATTTAAGTTGAAGCTTTCTCTTACACACGATACATGAATATTCAACTACTGCCACCTAAATCTTGTAACTCTCATACCAGAACATGATGCTGAGACTACATTTTTATACACCATCAGCGACTGCTTAATGGAGCGGCTAATCAGGGATTCCAGACAGGATAGGCAGCTCTCGACTTTGTTCTGAAAATAAGCAGGATGTGATTTATAACAGGTATGCCTATGTATGTATTCTACAGTGGAACTAGCTTTTAAATGAGATTCTGGTAGAAATAGGTAAATCTCAGAGGAGCTCTACAGTGGAAACTTAGGAGGCTCCAGAACAAAAGTTTTGGGCCAATGCTCCAGCTGTATAGGGTGCAAAAACTGCTAGCATAGCAACAACATTGACATTAAGAAATAGCAACCTTACATTGAGGATTATTAATAATCAGGATGCTCCTTGTAGGAGCAACAAAAGCAAAAAAAAAAGGAAACAATCCCCAACATATCTATTTCACATAAAAATGAGATTTTGGAAAAATGAGAAAGGTTATTAAAAGAATATAAAAATGAGACATAAAAAAAGCTAAACTTTAATGAAATGATGAGGAGCCAGACTTCGAGCTCCTAAAGATGTTTAACATCTTTTAAAAACTCTTAGGAAAAACCAGAAGTAAAACAGTATGGCTCAACTCCAGGGTAAGGAAAACTAGCAATAGATGCATGAGGTCCTTCTTCCTAAGTTTGAAGTTGAGTTCAATCACAAAAAAGAGCAGTAACAACAAATTTTAGTTGGTTAAATATAGAAACATAGTAAAGCACGCAAGGAACAATCAGCAGACAACAAAATTGAAAACGAAATTGATTTCCTTAAGTGTATTAGGAGAAAGAAGCTTTGAATAGTATCTACAGGGTGACACAGGATCAAACTATAAAAGCTGAGCTTTGAGAGAGTTATGCCACCACCACCACCACCCTGCCCTCAAAAAAAATATTTTTTTTTCATTTGTGTTTTCAACAAGGGATTCTAAACAAATACCAGCTTGGAACCTTTCATAGGGAAACTTCAGAAGACCTGTTTTGAATTGTGATTTTGGTATACAGCAGTCAAAATGAACAACAAATTACCGGGGCATACATAGGTACAAAGCAGCCACAGCCTTCTGCAACTAACTGTGGAAAGTACTGGCACAAACTTACTGTGCACCATGGGCTTTCTGCACATGGAAATGGAGATTGGGAAACTGCAATTTTCTAATATTTGTCTCCCCTTCCTTGACATTTTTGGCAGATCTGATAACTGCAAAAACTTTCCAGTTTCAAAGGAGGTCCTGGTAGGAGACCAATATCGCGGCAAGGCCCGAGGGAAAACTTCCTGATAAAGGAACTGCTGTTGTATCAGAGCCTCTATAGAGAGCAGAGGAATGTACCAGCACATTCCATGACCCTGCACTGTTAAGGGAGCTCCTGCTAGCCTGAGAGTAGAAGACATAGGTCTAAAGCTACCAACCTCTCCTTTAGAGTGAAGCTTAAAATACTGGCAAAGATCTAATGGAGCCGTGGGCTGTACAGTCCAAAGCTTTATTTTAAAGGGTAACCAGGACTGCGGAAATATACAGCACAAGTTGTTGGAAGTGTCAGATCACGGGCAGACCAATTTGTTGATGATCACTGTCATTCCTTGAAAGGGAAAGGCATAAACTGCAGCAGTCTCAGCCACTGGTTGAGATATTCTTCTGATTTGGTCCAGTTTGGCTTGCAGTACTGCCTTTAAGGAAAGGTTTTCCCTCACTGTTTCCCTGGGTACCCTACTGAAGACAGGATCATTCTGGGAATCTGATATTCCCAAGGTCTTGTACAGGGGAAACACCTGGCCTGAGCAAAATGAGAGAATGAATGGCAGAGAAGAAACTGTCCAAACCCAAAGTCAGGTCCAACGTGGCATAACAATGCTACAGTCACAGACGTTTTTTATGGGGAAAGAGCGGTGTCTGGAGGGGACTAGTTCAAAACAGACAACTTGGATACAAAAGGGGATACAGGGAAAAAACATGAAGGTAGTTGTGAAAAAAGAAGACTGAAAAATATGTGGAAACTAAAAAATAATGCAGAACAGAGGTAGCAAACAAAAGCAGTTAAGTGAAGAGGGACTGGCTATGCAAACGTGAAGATGTGAAAAATCTGGTTTTATTGGTTGAAATAAAATGTCCATGTTTTTCAACTACTTGCACTGCAAAGCAATCTAGGAACAGCATATTCCTGTGTGTCCTTAAAGTGTTTACTGTGACTTCACTACATCTGGAAGCATGGAATAAAGTGGCAAATAGCCCATTTACTTCCAAGTCCAATTAAAATTGAAAAGAAAAAAAGAAAGGAAAAAAAAAGGCAAACTTCTCTCCCAGATCTTGGGGATTGGTTTCAGTTTAAAAAGAGAGTACAACTTTACCTGTTAATTCATCACACACAATGCAAAATGGCTATGTTAATTGTCAGTAATACAATTAGCCTCCAAACCAATTGTTAAAATACTCAAAAATCAATTCTATCCTGTAGCTTTGCTGTTGTTATTCTACAAGAGAAATGTTCAAGTCTCTTGCTTTGCCTTTTACTCACTTTGACTGTTAATGAAAATCCCACATTTCATTTTCAAGATTGATTCAACAAATCTAAAGGATTGTCACAGTCAAATGGAAGGAGAAACCAAAAAAAAACCCCAAAAGAATAAATAATAAATTAGTAAAAATACAAAGAAAGATCACAACAAATATTAAAACAAAATATCAGGGGAGTTTTTTCTTTTGGAAAACATCTCTCTTCTTTCAAAAAACTTTTGTCATGCTTACACAGCAGATACTAGTTCTCCTAGTGCAAGTCAGATGACAAAACAAACTAAATTAGAAAAAAACAAGCTACTATACAGTCTTAACAATGGGCAGCTAAGAAAACAACACAGATGCAAAATTAAGCAGCCTGCATATGTTGGAAATTCTTATCAGGTTCCTGTTATCTAACTAAAGGAGTGCAAATCCAGTCAAGAGACTTTTCATATGGTAAACTAGGAGTCGAGAAACACTGAGAATCTTAAGCAACAGTCTTCCAGTAAGAGACATCTGCTAGTGACTCTTCTCTAAACATATTTCAAAAGGCTTGGAAAGGACTGTCATACCTTTTAACATGTGCTTGAACTGAAGCAGCACTGCATGCTCAAGCTTACTTTCCAGCACAGAGTTAAATAAGCCAGGCACACTTACAGAGCTTGTAATTCTAAATCACTGAGAATAGACCCCAAGTATAGTTTGAATGTCAGTACAGTGGTTACAAGGCCTGTGTCTGTCTAACATGAATATATAGCAGATATACCTTCAGCCCCTCCCTCCCTCCCTCTTCCTTTCTGGTCTGCCAAATACTACCTCAGCCTCATAATCTATATTCAGCATTTTGCTGCTACCTTTCACCTCCTCACCTTTATGGTCCGACTGAAGTCTTGTATTTTCCTCATACTCATAATTTGATCACCCAAATGCCAGAAAATAAGGTAATTGGTTTTGATAAGTTTAATTCCTGCACATAATAAAAGGCAGGAGTTATGTGCCATGTTGTGTGTTATGCTAGGTCAAGGTTAAGCACAGCATTTTAAAGAAGGTGCACCACTCAGGGAAAATACTGGCAGCTTGCAAGGATGCTCTGAGAACACACAACGTGAAAAATTTAAAGACTTCATTGTTATATGTTTAACACATATAACATACTATTATACTCCTATTTCTTTATTTGATAAGTTAAAAGGCAGAGAAACCTAACTCTGCCCTATTTTAATTTTATAACATAATATATGCAACTAAATGCACCTATTTCCATATAAGAATTAAGGCAGAGTCCTTCTATCTTGCACAAGTTAAAGACAGGGCCTACCATAGTTATTTATTAAACTGTTTGACCTTGCTAAACGCAGTTAGGTCAACAACCAATTAATCACCTGTCATTAGTACCTGCTACCCAGCAGAAACACAGTTTTCTGAAGAAGATGACAGAGATACCTTAATGCAGCTTTGATTTTCTCTCAGAATCACACCTCCACAAAGAACATACAGAATTATAATAATCTGTGTCTATTGCTTCCATCATGCTGGTTGGAAAAAACAAACACAGAAAAACGCTTTTGATATCCCATTGAAGAGCAGCCATAGGAGTTTGAGCCCAGAAGACCTAAACATTCTGCAAGCCCAAATTAAAGGGCACTGGGAGTGAAGTGACAGGACAAATGGCAGCTGCTTATTTGTTTGGCTATGAAAAATCAAGAGATCCCAAAACTTTACAGAATTACTTCTCCTTACCTGCATTTTTTCAATCATCTCAAACAAGTCCACAGTCTGAAAAGGAAAAGACAAGAGGGGAAAATAATTTAACATTTGAAGAAGCTAACATTATCTTCTGTCGTATCTCAGATATTGAAGGAGCCAACAGTTCCTTCCATGTTCTGGCAAGGAAACTACTTGCTCACCAAAGACATGATGGAATTGTTCTTCCTTAGAACTGATAGCATGGGCAAAACAACTGGCCAAATTGTCTTCAGCTTGTGTTGCAAAAGCTTGGCCTGAAACCTGGTCAGACAGGTATCAGGAATTTCTCTCTTTCAACGGGTCACGCTGACTTGATACAGTATGGCATAAGAACAGTTTAAATGAAAAAGTTTAGGATTCTCACAGAAGTAGGCAACTATAGCTGTAAGACATGCTTCACACGAGCTTGATTTCAGTCATTCCTCCTGCACACATAACTTTTGTTCAAAGCACACTCCAACCCTGAGCCAGAGGAACACAGACTGCTTTTACCTTGTTGGGGGCAGCCGGAGTGAGGGCACATGGAAAGCCTTCAGTGGGAGAGTCTATAACATTGCTGAAGCACCGCGCTACCTCCTCAGACCTCCTGCAACAGAGAGAGTAAAAGGAAAAAGAAAAAAAAAAAGAAAAAAGTTTTAACACTTAGAGAATTCAAGATGCCAGCGCTTGCCTGCATGTCTCCTTTGCCTTCTGCTTACTATTCCTCCCCCCAGGCCATTTCTTACCTATGAGGAAGCTGTCATTTCCTGTGAGAATCCCTGAGATATTACTACTTACCGCCTGCAAACATCCTCGATATAACAGCAAAAATCTTCTGGCCCTGAATGCTCTGCCTCTGTTCACACACAATATTTTCTTCACAACTGTCATGTAAGTGCTGAATGGTCTTTCTTTGCCAAGTTCCTCTTCCATCATGGATTTGCAGCAGACTAAAGAATCACAAGAAGGTCTCGCAAGAAGCTTTGTGTTCAGATTTTGACCGTATTAAAAGAGATGAAAGTTCTGAAATATCACCAAAATCAGCATCTAAAGGACAGCCCCAGTTGCCACAGCCTGGGTATTAGTCTCCAAGACAGGGGCATAACAGAGATGGTGTGAGATCAGAACTGATACAGCCTGCAGGAGAGATGGAGGCACAGTTCTGTGTTACCACTGCTAGTAAAGCCAGCGTGGAGATTAGATGGGCTTTTGCCTGTCCACCTGCTATGGAAAATATATTATTACTATGGCCCCTGCTGGAGCAGTAGTGTGTACAAGCAGCAGCAGCACTTTATTTGATTTCATAGAAGGGAAAATAAAAAGCAACACAAATAATCCACTGTAGTTTAAAAGACATACATACTATTCTTGTGTACTCATGTCTGGGACTGCCCTGACCCAGGTGCAGCACCTTGCACTTGAACTTGTTGAACTTCACAAGGGTCCCATGGGACCCCTTCTCGAGCTTGTCCAGGTCCCTCTGGATGGTCCCTTTCTGCTGTTGTGTCAATCATACTGCTCAGCTCTGTTTCTTTTGCAAATGTGCTGAGGGTGCTTGATCCCACTGTCTATGCCATTGATAAAGATATGAAAGAGCACCAGTCCCAAGACAGAGACCTGAGGGACACCACTCATCACTGGCCATATAATCATCATATAATGCATATAATAATCATATAATGCAATCAAGAATTGCTATCCTCTAACTATTAGATGCATGGCTGCTACAGCTTCCATTCTAAGAGATCAGTATCTGTAAGTCATGCAGACTCTTGCTTTGAAACCAGTGGCTGCATTCCCTGTTGTATGGAGGTACAACATATTTCTGTAATCATGAAGCTACTCTATCACAAGCTCCAAGAAGCATAATGCTCTGACAATTCGCAATTTATTTTAGTGGCCCAATGGCATCATGTAACTTGCATATAGGCTCATCTATACAAAGTAACACAATGCTTCCATCCCACATCCTGAAACTGGAGATGAGAGAGATCTGTGTAATGCATCTAGAGATTAAAGCCATAAAATATGTGGGAGGGAAGATGTAGGAGTTAGTCTTGACAACCCCAAATAAATATTGAAATAATTTGATGGCAAATATATTTTAAATGAATATTAGTATTATACTAATACATGCTTTATTCATCATCTTATTCATTTACTTGAAGCATATTTGGGATAAGCAAAATATATGTCCAAGGCAGTACATGAAGGATTTTCACTGTTTCTTTTAAAAACCTGAAGTTTTTATTCTGTGAGCCCTAAAAAGATAAGAGCTTAATTTGATAAATTCTCATTTTCAGAAAGAAATGTAATAGTTGAACTTTTTGTGCAACTGGGGCCTTGTTGCATGCTACAGTGTTTTCTTTGGCATGTCACTGGGTTGAACGCTGAATCATCCAGTGAAGAGTTAAATACACACCTGCATCATGGAAATCTGACAATTCCTACATGAGATCACTCTGACCAGTACTGCCCCTGTTCTCTCACCATAAATTCATCTCTATACTTTGGACTGACTGGAGAACTTTGTGCAGCAACTTCTCCTTTACTGTTGAATTCTAGTACAGTTCTATTGTCAAAATGAGTCCAGGAGAGACCAAAATCACCAGTCTTACCAGACGTTTAGAGATGTTCAAAATTCTGTAATTATCCCAGATTAGGAATGTGCCAAAAGACTTTAGAAATCCAGGAGGATTACTTGAATTTTAGGTTATCTTTTATAAAATATCACAAAAATATGGGGCCATTATAACTACTGCTTGAAAATCTACTCGTGAATTTTTAACTTCTGGAATGAAAAGCACTGACCTCTATTAAAGAAAGAGAACATACTTTTTTTCAAATTGGAACTTCAAACTCTTTGACCACAGAAAAGAAGAATATCATCCTTTTGAGAAAGAAAAGCAATTCTGCAATCTGGGAGTGGAATATTTATTTGCAAATGTATACTTGCTGAAGCTTTATTTTTAGGAAATGGCAACTAGGGGAAGCAAAGGGCCTGGAAAATGCTGAAGTCTAAACCAGGATTTTGCTAGTGACATTAACCAGTGCATTAGTTTCAAGTGGGTAGCCAAACAAAACATAGGTACTGCTGATCCACTGCCAAAGACTCCACTCTCAATTCTGAAATAGTGCAGGAAGCACCTTTGCAGACCTCTGTCTCCACACACACAGAACTCTGCTCATGCCCTATATTTCCTGTCTTGCAGCATCATTTCAGTCCTGATACAGAGATCCCTCTATATAGCTCTCAAAATTGTCACTATCTGCTATAGCTGAGCCAGTTCAAGAACCAAGTCAATGCAAACATTTGTTCTAAGAAAAATACAAATTGGACTTGACAGAATTTCATACATCCTTTCATAAGTATTCCAGAGGTAAAGGGGATTTGTTGCACTCTAAAAGACAAGTGCCCCAAATCCTCAGGTAACTCGTTTCCTGGAAGTTCACAGGGAAGCAGGTGCATAGCTACCGTAAATACTTCAGCTAATCTGGAAGCCTTCCAGAAGACGAAACACTACAGCATGATTTGCAGCTATCTACGGAATGACAGTCAATAGAATAACTGGTGTCACAGCCTGATAGGATAGTGAGACACTAATATGTTTTTTAAATCCCTCACTAGAAGGGATAGGCAATTTAGAACTGAAGGTAATGTGAAACAAAAGCAGGCCTGAAATACTCGTAAGGAAAACTCTGGGCAACCACTTCTCATGAGTAACAGCTTCTGCTCTTTCTCTCTTATCTCTCCCTTATAGAGACACATTTAGTCTACCAAATATGATTGTTAGGTATACAGTGAAGACAGCTGAAAACATGACACGAATAGCCCCACTCTCAAGCACCTGTACAGCTTTGAAATTTGCTTACACGCATATTCATAAAACTCAAGAGAAGGAATTACTGAGACAGAACTAAGAAAAGGAAACAACCACTACGGATGAGATGTGGTTTGCTCTCAGGTGGTCACAAACTTTCTGCTCGTAGACCCCGACTTCCAGTAAGGAACCTCACTTCCAGCCACACTCCCCCCAGCTCCTGCCTCTCGCGTGGAGGCCGCTGTTCAAACTCGTGGGCTGCCCATGCCCTCTGCTCAGGTCTTCGTGCAGCCACAAAGGAGATGGGCAGGGTATCGGGAGGGCCTGGAGAACCCAGCCAGCTCCCTCTGCCCGTGAGGTACAGCCCCGCGGGGCAGGAGAAAGGATAACTCTAGAGGGAAATTTATCTCACACTCCCAGCTCCTGAGAAGTCCCAACCGGAGAGCTTCCCCATTCCCAGGGCTGCAGAAGAGCCCGCCGAGCCTCCCTCTTTCCCTCCAGGGAGAGGAGCACCCTCTTGATGTATTGTATGTCACCTCATCGCCTGCGTCCCCCCGGCCAGAGCCCGTCCGGGAGGGAGGTAGGGAAGGGGGGTGGGAGAGAAGAGGGAGCGCCGGGCCCACAGCCAGACCCGGACCTGCTGGGCCGGGGCACAGCCATCGCCTTACCCCTCCTCGGCCCTCCGCCCTTCCAGGCAACCCGCGAGGGCTCTTCTGCTGCTCCAGCACTGCGCCCAGCGCCGGCAGCCGCTGCCCTGCCCCGTGCCCCAGGCTGCCGGGAAAGGCAGGGCCCCAGGCCCCGCCGGCCGCCGGCACCACTCCCGGTCCCGGTACCTACCCTCCGCAGGCTCCGGCAGGGAAGCCCTGCTCCCGGGAAAACATGCTGCACTGCTCCGCTGAGTCAGCTCCCGGGTTCCCTCCTCGGGAGCTTCCTCTCCCCCGGCCTCGCCATGGAGAAGGACTCAGGCTCCCTCCCGGTCCCCCGCGAAGCCGCGGCTCCCGCCCCCACCCCTCCTCTTCCTCCCAGGCCGGGAGTCACCGGAGAGACAGCGAAGGGACCCCCACGGCTGGCACCGGGCCCCAGCCGGCAGCGGCTCAGGGAAGGACGAGAAGGAGGAGGAGGAGGAGGGATGGAGGAAGATGAGATAAAGGGGGATGGGTTGGTGACTCCTGCCCCTCCTCCGCTGTGGAAAATGAGTTCCCCCTAGAGCCCTGGGTTGTGGGGAGTCCACGGATAGTGCAGGAGCAGCTGCTGGGACAGCCGAGCCGGGGATGCTGCTCTCCAGATTCTCCGTGATGGTAAGACAAGCACAGCGTTAGACAGGAAGAGCAGAGGGGTCTCTTATTCCACTTTGCTATAGAACAAGATCACTTCCCCAAGCTCTCAGTATCCAGTGGGGAAAGCGAGCATCAAGGCTCCGTATATGTCCATTCCCTTCAAGGGAAGGATAAGAAGATACTAAATCCACTAGCCCTTGGCATTTGGAGCTGGCATACATCAAGTACTACAGAGATTTGGCTCTACACGGCTTATGAAATAGCTCACTGATCCAACATGTAAACTTAGGAAGCTCAAATTTTGAGGAATCACAAACCCCTTAACCACATGTATTTGCATTCACTCAATAGATCGTCATTCCTAATAAAAATTGAGCGTGAGAATATGCCTTTCCATTGCAAGAGTATGCACATACCTGTGTTTAAACAAGAATACAGAGCTCTTCTGGACAATTTTTTTTAATTTTGAGTCTCAATTTCATTCCACAGGATGATGTAATGTTTCCTCTTTACATCAAGACCTATAAAAGCAGCAGCTAGAACCTTACACGAAGTGTCAGTCTCACACTGGTTTTGTTCTGACTCATGAAGGGGACATAAGGAAACACAGAATAAGAGAGAATTTGCAGAGGAGCCAGAGAGCTAGGAAAAGATGCAAAGGAAGAGTACAAATAGAATGAAGAGAAATATGAGATAGTTGATATAGTGAGGGCAGGGGGGGAGTAAAAAGAAAAATAGAGAGCAAGCAGTTACATCAAAGGTTTAGGGATGAGTGCAGCATTTTCATCTTAATGCTTCCTATAAATTCTGCTCATAAAAGACCTGGATAGAAATGATTATGGGGGCTTCAAGGGTCTGTGAGAAAAGAGACTGCAAGGAGTAAGGAATCAAGGCAGGTGACAACTTTGAATAGACAAAGAGAGTGACTACTTGCTATTTTTAGTAAGTTGCACGGAGTTCAAGTGATTCCATTTCCTCTTGTCTATTTCTTTTTTTTTTTCCCCCTTGAAGATGTGATGCTTGAGTATTGGCTAACTCATACAGCCTACGTCCTCGCTCCAACCCAAATGCCTCACAAATGGACCCAGAGCACCGAATACAGCAGCACAAGCAGTTCTCACTCATTCACCTGAATGTCTGAGCAGAGATGTGACTGGGCCAAGGCAAAGAGCCAAGCTTGCCATTTCTGCTGCATCTAGGAAGGAGGAAGAGACATTATTTTTTGCTGCTAGAGAGGGCTGCCAGCAGTAACTACTGCCCTCCCCCATCTCAGGGTCATTATCAGCAGCACTAGCAAGCCTGGACATCGTGAAAGCATACAGTAAGGCCCAGGTCTTTCTGCCATCCTTGTTCTTTGGCTACTTGCCACTATAGACAAGAGCCAACTTTGTTCACATTCAAAGCCACACTGGGCTCAGTTTTCACTTAACTGTCTCACAGCTTTACCTAACCTTCTGTGCAACTCCAGTTGTGTACAAAGTCCTCAAGATACACAAGCAAAGCAGCAAGCAATTATTAAATACCTTAACTACTGTTCTAATTAGCCTCCTTTAGCAATAATCATGTGAATAAATCACATGCAAGCAAATCCCAGGACCCCTTTCTGTTCCTCAACTTATAATCAAGCTAATGATTGTTACTATTTACCCTGTTGATGCAACAATATCACCAAATATAAGCCTTGAGTTGTACGAAGTAGATTCAGCTCCTATTGATAGTTGCATTCTGATATGACTAATTCCGAGTACTTACCATCTCAGATTGTAATTCATATATTTGTCTATAGTTGCATAGGTCATTATGCATATTATAGTTATTGTGTGTTTTAGGGACTGGCATACAATTTTCTGTTCTTTCAGATATCCATGTAGCTATATTAATACATGCATTACAGTAATTAGTGTTTATACCTTTTGCTATGTATTTTTCTAGTTTTTATTAGCAGAAGTTTTTCATTTGTTTACCTGCATTAGCATTTTATCTTGCTCACATAGGAAAAGTCTGTACTGGCTGTAACACAGAAACTAGCCCCTGCAATTTTATTAATTGAGTCATTGTGAGAACATCAGAAGCTGCACAGAAACTGCGCAGTACCAGATAAACACAGCAGCATATCCTTCAAGGGTCAACTCTTCAGGGTAAAAACTGTATTTTTTTAATGTTTTACTACAATATTACCCAAATTCATAGATGCATCCACAGATAGAAACATACATGTTTTCACATCAACTGTTTCCACAGATGTATGCACACAGCTTCTATATATAGTACTGGCTGTGCACAGACTGCACCTCCCGCTGCGCACTTGGACCCATCATTTTATGTCCAAGATTGACAGAATCAGGGTGGGCTTCCTTTGAGTCTGGACAGACCCTCTTTCATGCCCCTTCATCCCTTCAGTTTGTTTCGTTTCCTAGACAGACATCTGCTCTCCCCAGCTTCACTGTCCCTTTCTCTCTCTCCAACTGCTTCTCTACACAATTCAGTGTAGCATAATGTCTTATAAAAGCACACAAACACTTTCCCTGCTGAGGCTGAAACTACCCCAAAGTCCATCCATTACACAACGCCACGCAAGCAACAGAGAAGATATGGATCAACCCTCCCCCAGCTATCTTTGCTCCCATTCCTTCTAGATGTAAAATATTTTAATTGGCATTGCAGGCAAGATGAGAATAAAAGCAGCTAAGCTGTTCATCCCCTACCTGAGCAAGGATCTCTCATCCCCAGCTGGTGAGCAGATGGAGACAGGGAACCCAGCTGCTTTCCTTTCCTTGCACTATCAATTATTCACGTAGGTTGCAGTGTCCTCCCTCTCCCTCCCTCCCTCCCTTTCTCTTCCGCTGCCCCCACCTGCGGCTGAATGGAGGCTGAGCAGGTCGGTGCTGTCATACTTGAAACTAGAGATCATTGCCGATTGAACAGTCAGCCTGCCGAGCAGCTGTGCTCTTAAGCAGGGAAGATTGGCCCTAGCAGAAGGGGACAGACAGGAGGCAGCTCCAGAGGTGGAGCACGGACAGCTCTGTACTTCAACATCCTGCTCCCTGCACTTCTAATCCCAGACCCGTGGGGATCACCTTTAAAAATGAGAGAGGGGGTGTTTTTTCCACAGAAAAGTACATTTTTCTAGTCCTCTCAAGTATAATGGCAGTTATTTGGTGACAGTGAGCTGGGTCATCAGGATTCATGTGCATAGATCAGAGTAGGAAGGGAAAGTAGAGGACTGGAAAAATCTGAAACCTGCTTACGTAGGACTGATTTAGTATCATGGCAAAGGAACTAGAAGAGGATAATCTGAGGTGACAGGATGACATGGTACTTTCTGCAAATGCTTTTGGTAATCATAGTCATGAGACTGACCTGTGAGTTGGCATGATTGTTCAGTCACAATTTTTGTAGATTATTAAAGAATTCTTACGTGATACCAGCCTTAGGCAAAGGTAAAATGAGTTCTGGCAGACAGGCCAAGGCTTTTAAAGCATTTTGCCTCTGTAGAGGGCTACTACCTACAACTGGGTGAGTGCTTTAGATCTGCCTCACAGCAAAATTAGGTTCAATTCCCAGGCCAAATTAGCTGCTCTGTTTTGCACTGGAGTAATTCAGCCTCATGCTGGTCCCATAGGTCTGCTGGGGGACCTTCCTGCTAGGTCAACTCAAACATCACAGTAATTTCTTCTGTTAAATTTTCCCATGACCACAGATGTGGCAGAGGCACCACAGAGACAGAAAACAAAACAAAAAACCCAATATACTATGGTGCTAAAACAGAAGGTCATCATGGCTTTTCTGCCCTATTTAACTTTTCCCATCTTTTGAAAAAAAATCTGCAGGAATTTTACCGGAAGTAATAAAGAGTTTCCTGAAATTACATTAAAAATAAAGTGTCTAATAGAAATTGTTGGTATTACAACCACAATTGTGAGTAAGAAAACCAGCAATTCTTTTTAAGAGGGCACTGTGATTGTTTTTAATTATCTTGTTTTCAAAACTTCATGGATCAGTCTTTGTCAAGCATTTCTCCACAATTATGAAGGCTGGAAACTCTTTGTTTTAAATAAAGAAAAAGTTAGCACCTTTTTGTTTTTACTTGAGCATGGGAACCATCAAGTACTACAGATGGAAAAACAACAAATTTTCCATGGATTTAGTTTGTGCAGCTGTTTCAGGTCTAAGAACTTCGATTGAATCCACTGGAGCATTTACGAGACCCTTCTCTTGTGCTGAATCTTCGATGACGTTCACTTTGCAAGCTTTCCCTCCTTTGGACCATTTATGGGAAATCTTTTTTCCTGGTTGGCCATTTTAATTAATTTGTTAGTAACAGAAAAAAATTCTCTTTGAGGTAATTATCAAAGATATATCAAAGAGATAATTATCAAATTATCAAAATATAATTTTAAGGAAATTATCAAATCAATAAATTATCTTTGAGACCTTGATACCCTAATTTTAGTAGAATATAACTATTCCAGAGGTTACTAAGGGATAATGGTACACAGATAGACTGTCTAAAATATGGTTTTTTTCCAGAAAAGTAGGCTAAGAACAAAGCATGGTAAAACTCAATAAAAGTAAAAAGATCAGCATTGTAAATATTAGAACAGCAGTCATGTTTGGCTTTCCAGTAAACAAAAAATATCAATACCTGTACATCTACCTGCAGATATAGGAGCATATATTTTTGATTTTTTTTTCTGAATATTAGACTCATACTGGTCTAATTGTGTGACTATTTTGGTATCTTACAATTTGAAATTAATATTATTCATAACCTGATCAATGCAATTATAACATCCTGTCATTTATACAAGTCTTTAAATCACCCTTAGATTATAAACTGACTGAGTCTTCACATATGTCTGTAGAGACTCTAAAAGATACTGTTTCCATATAAATACTAACACTTCACATTTCCTTGAGACCTTTATTTGAAGATCTCACAATACATTACTGATATTCGTTCCCTTGCTTACCAGTATTCTACATAAGGATAAAGTGGCACAGAGACACTAACCC